GCGCCCGGCAACCGTGCCTTTTCTTCAGCACGGCTGGGGAGGCAGACACGCCGGCAGTGGATTCTCCCAGTCTTTGCTCATTTGCAGATGCCCCCCTTTGCCTTTATTTGTGCAGCACGGTTTGCTAGACCTGGAAGTCTAGCGGTGGAGGGGCCTCCAAGTGCCAGTTTGGTCTCACTGGTTCACTGGTGGTTCACCTGTTCTTACGTGTCCTATTCTGTACCCAGAGGAGCGTTAGGATCTCCTGTCATAACTGTGGATTTAAGTGTCCTGTCAGTGCGGCCACTTTTCTCTTCTGTGTTTGTAACCGCTGTTATCAGGTGTATACAGACAAGTTTATTGTGGTTTTTGATGAGTTATTCCCTTTTTAAAAAGAGTTATGTATTTATTTGAGAGAGATCGAGTGCGCAGTGGGAGGGGCACAGGGAGAGGGACAGAGAATCTCAGGCAGACTCTGTACTCAGTGCAGAGCCCGATGTGGGGCTCGATCCCACGACTCTGAGATCACGACTTGAGCTGAAACCAAGAGTTGGACGCTTAACCGACTGAGCCATCCAGGTGCCCCCCCATCCCTTCTATCATTATAAAATGTTAGGACAGTTAGTGCGTGGTGTATACGTTCCTTTCCTTTCCTTTTTAACGTATCTATATCTTTACATTTATAGTCCATTTCTTGTAAACAGCATATGGATAGGTCTTGCCTCTTTAAATCTCCTCTGATAATCTCTCCCTTTTGATTGGAATTTTAAGTCCCTTTATAGTTAATGTAATTGTGAACACAGTTGGTTGAAATCCCACCGTCTTGCTCACGGCTTTCTGTTTTATCCTTGCTCCTCTCTCCCTCCCTCCTTACCATGTTTTAGGATAATTAAATATATATACACATATATAATGACTCAGGAATATACATTATATATATATATAGAAAGAGAGACACGCATTGTATATATCTATAGAAAATGTATTTTTAGGATTCCATCTCATTTCCACTGTTGGCTTATTAGCTCTGCATTCTCTGCGATGGTTCCTTTATGGCTTATACTACGTATTCTGTACCCATCGCAGTAATACTGCCTCACGTATGAGGTAAGAACTTTACAACGTTACGGCAACTTTCATTCCTGCAACCCCATCCTTCAAACTATAGTCGTCATATGCTTTACTTCTACACATGGTAAATTTTACATTTTATTAATTTCGTTTTGTGCAATCAATTCCGTTTTTCTTTCACAGCTCGATGGAGGATAATTTATATACCACAAAACCCACCCATTGTGACTGTACGGTTCAATTGTTGTTAGTAGCTTTGCGAAGTTGTGTGACCATCACCACGATCCAGTTCTAGGACATTCCCATCACCCCACATTCTCCTAAGCCTGTTTATGGTCCACGCCTGTGCCCACTCGTAACCCTAGCGGTGTTTCCTTCCTTCTGGTAAAATACAGAAACTTCAACCCAACGTATGTGCTTTCCTCCCCCTCGCTCTTGCCTCTGTCGTCACATACGGATCGCATCTGTATGTGTGGTCATCCCAGCGAGGCGGCCCTGCGATGACTGCCTTCCCCTGGGAGTGGAAGGACCGGCCTGTGCCCCGAGCCCCACCCGCTGCCTGTTTGGGCAGTTAAGGCTGTTGCAGCGGTCACATGGCCTCCAACGCCTAGACTGTCTGGCCTTCTACAAGGAAAGTTTGCCACCCCCCTGCTTCCTACAACCTCGTGTCTTTTAAAAGAAGTGAAGACTTGAGCTGGACGGAGGGGACAGGTCCATTTATGTTCTCTCGTGCTCGCCCGCTGATGTAGCGTTTTCCGCATTCCCCGTTCCTCCCTGCGGACTTGAGGGAGCGCCCGGCAACCGTGCCTTTTCTTCAGCACGGCTGGGGAGGCAGACACGCCGGCAGTGGATTCTCCCAGTCTTTGCTCATTTGCAGATGCCCCCATTTGCCTTTATTTGTGCAGCACGGTTTGCTAGACCTGGAAGTCTAGCTTCCCAATGTCTTCCCTTCAGCCCGTGAGTGTGCCCTTCCACGGCGCACGCCCAGCTCCCGGGGCGCCAGGTGCTGACCGTGTGGTCCCGCCCTTACTGTGCAGCTCCTGTTTGTCTTGTTGCTTTCAAAATTTTCCCCTCTCTTCATTGTCTAGGCTGTGATGTGTTGGGTCTGGACCCCCATGTGTTTATCCCTCTGTGATGGCCGTGCCTCGCGGGTCTGCAGGTAGCTCCCAGCGGCCTTTCTCCTCCCTCCCTCCCTCTCTCTCTCTCTCTCTCTCCCCTTCTGAGACTCGGGCCACTTACCTGCTGAGCTGAATGTGCTCCCGCACACCTCACGGGCACCACCACTCTCTTGAATTTTTTTTCCTCTGTTCTCCAAATTGGCCAATTTCTATTAATTTACAAATTTTTCAATGCTTTCTCCTGGCATGTCAGTTCTGCTCCTGAGTCCCTGTAGTTCATTTTCAACTCCAGAATTTCCATGTAGCCTTTTTATAATTTCTGTTTCTCTAGGACAGCCTCCCTTCGCTGAGCCACGGTATTTTCCATCTATAGTCGTTGCTTTGAAGTCAGTGCTCAGTCCCACCACCGGACGTTCAGAGAGCTTCCGCGAGTTGCTTTGTTCCCCGGTATGGATCAGACGCTCTTCTTTCTCTGCGTGTCATGTCACTTCTGGCTGAGTGCTGGACACTGCAGCAACTCTGGTTCTGGTCCCTTCGGGGCTGTGAATGTTGTTTCTCTGTGTGTTTGTTTAGTGACTTTCTTGGACTAACTCTGTGAAGCCTACTTTGCCTGAGTCCCCCCCATGCGGGCTCACCGCTACCTGACCTGATGTCACAACCTGCCCACCCCTGCGCGTGCTCTCAGACCCAGTGTCCAGGATGGGGTGATGTGTGCACCAGCACGGTACACGGACGGACTTCGTCTGGGCCCGGCCCCCCGGATCCGCCGTCTGGTCTCCCGCCTGCACGGCTCCGCTGACTCAGCCTCTCTCTTTGCAGTATCTGGCCGGCAGCTGCAGCCTGAGGAGCCGGACGCAGACACAGAAGAGGACCACTCTGTAAGCGAGGGCCCTGGAGGATGCATGCCCCCCCTCACACAGCCCCAGCCTTTCCTGGGCGTGCGCAGAGCCCAGGTGGCTGAGGGCTACCTGATTTTTCTCTCCTGCCAGGTAACGGAAGGGCCCGCGGACGAGATCATTCGGCCACGGCCACAGGGGTCCTCCCCTGTGTATGAATACGCTGCGGAGGGTGCTAGCTCTGGACTCCCGGTAAGCCTGCGGGACAGAGACCATGGGCTGAGGGAAAGTGCAGGTGTGGGCACGTCTCCTTCATCACTCTGTGTGGGCAACTCCCACCCATTTGTGCAGCCATGCAGGCCTGCCCTGCTGCTCACCGGGCCACAGTTCTACCCATTGCGCCTTCCTCTCTGACCCCTCCGTCCCCCAGGACCCCTCCCTTCAGCGGCCCAAGACGGAGATGAGATTGTGCACGCACATGCGTGTGTGGGAAAGCGAGCCCGTGCTTGATGTGGGCATACACGGGCTGTCTCTGGAGGGGGCCTAGGGGGAGGGCATGGGAGCAGGTCTATTTCCTAAAAGACTTGTTCTTGCTCTGTTTCCTTCTTACCCTGCCCACAAAACCCCAGTTCCTGGGGGGGCCTGCCCTGGGTGTGGGTGCTGGGGCCTGGGGGCTGGGCCCTGTCAGGAAGCACTAGGGCCAAGAGTCACCGCCGCCCCCCCCCACCCCAGCCATGAGATCAGCTCCCTTGGCACACAGCACTGCTCTGGGGCCTCCGGTCTCCTGAGTCCCTCCTGTGCCCGGGGTGGGGGCAGGAGTGTGACCTCTGGCCTCTGTGGCTGCAGGAGGACACACCGAGGCGGCGGGCTTCCTCGGGCTCTGGGGGACGGAGATCCTGGTGGAAGCGAGATTCAGGGGACTCCCGGACATTCTCCAGGATGAGTTGTCCGCAGGTGGGTGTGGTAGTGCCTGAGGCTCAGGGAGGTGGGCTCTCTGCGAAGACCCCAGCTGGGCGGGAGGCGTGGCTGGGTCGGAGCAAGGAGAGGGGCGAGGAGACCGGGGAAAGGCCTGCTTGTCACCCTCGTCAGGCCCGGTCTGGAAGCGGGGGCTCCAGAGGCTGGTCCAGGCTTCCCCTGAGACGTCCAAGGAAGAGCCCGACGTGGCCAGGGAGACCGAGGCACACAGACCTCAGTCTCTGCAGTGGGTGCAGCTGCTGCCGGCCCCGTACACAAACCACGGAAGGTGCTGGATTCCAGGGGCGCCCAGTGAGGAGGGTGCACTGCCCCAAGGCAGCTTGTCCTGTCATCCGTGGTTCCTGCAGTCCCACAGCTCGGCTGGGCCCAAAGCCTCTGAGTTGGGCTGGCCATCCTGCTTGCTGTGTTTTCCTTGGCACTTCTGAACCCCCCGCCGCCTTGCGTGCCATTGGGGTGTGAGGGATGAACAAGGCTTGGCCACCCTGCGAGCAGAAGCCCCTCCTCTCTGCTCACTGAGCCCGATGGGCCAACCAGCTGCTCCCGAGGGCTGGCAGGTTGGGGGGGACAAGAGGAGGCTGCTCCGGCAGGAGGTGGCTTGCAGCTGGCTCTCTCCAAGGCCGGGACACGACAGCCGGGCCCTGGCTAGGGGCTCCTATGCTGCCCCCTGTCTCCTGGATGGTAGGCAGGACCCTGGGGTCCCTGTGCTCAGGGTGGTGAGGCCCCCAGCACGGATGCCCATGGCACCATAGGCAGAAGCTCACCACGGCCCTGATGTGCTTCTGCTCCAGTCCATGCAGGAGGCGACAGAGGTGACGCTGATGACCGAGGCGGAAGCTGGAGCCAGCGGCTACAGCGTCACAGGTGGTGGGGACCAGGGGATTTTTGTGAAACAAGTCCTGAAGGACTCATCAGCTGCCAAGCTCTTCAGCCTGAAAGAAGGTGCCATGACCGCCCCTCCCTGGGGTCCCCGTGGTCCCCATCAGGACGGGAGGGGCCTGGAGGAAAACGGGCCTCACCTGGTGCTCAGGACGCCCCTGATGAGACTGCTCGGCCACCTCCAGGCTGGGGCCGCCGGGTGTGCTGGGCGTTCCCGCCAGTGCCATGGGGTGGCCTCCTTCCCACGCAGGGCTCCCTGGAGGGTGGGGTTGGGGTCCCGGGGCCCCGGTAGACGCATCTCTCCGAACCGTGGCGGGACTGGGGCAGCTAAGGCCTAGGGCCCGCTCTGTCTTTGTCTAGGGGATCAGCTGCTCAGCGCAACCATATTCTTTGACAACATTAAATATGAAGACGCTCTCAAAATTCTTCAGTACTCAGAGCCTTACAAGGTGCAGTTCCAAGTCAAACGGAAACGTCCTGCCACAGAGGACGAGGAAGGGGCCGCCAGGGGGGCTCAGGATGGCCCGAAGGGCAGTGAGAAGCAGGTGATGCACCACAGCCAGTGAGGCTGGGCCCCACTGACCTCCACCCAAACCCCGGGGCTGAGGCTGGGGAGGGGCTCCCACCCCACCCTCTACTGTCCCCGGAGCCCCGGGCTCAGGTGCCTCGTACCAGCAGCTGCAAGTTCACTCTCCTTGTGTTTCAGGACAAAGATGTGGCTGATGGCTCCACAGAGACCCCCACACAGATCCTGGAAGGGGGAGGAGACCAGGAGAGACTGCTCGCCAAGCCCAGGGAGGGCAGACGCAGGCGGCCCCAAAAAGAGAGGCTGTCCTGGCCCAAATTCCAGTCAATAACGAGCAAGCACATGCCGGGACCGCGGAGGTCACACAGCTCCTCAGAGGCCTACGGGCGGGGAGATGCACCTGACGTGTCCCCCACGAGCACAGACACGGAGGCCCAGCTCCCAGCAGAGGATCAGGAGCAGAAGGCAGGACCGGACGGCCAGCGGAGAAGGAGGTTCCTGAACCTCAGGTTCAGGATGGGCTCAGGGAAGGGTCCGACGCTGGAGGGGCGACCAAGCAGAGAGGTCCAAGGTGGAGCTCTCCAGGCCGGGGTCGTGGAGGAGGCCGGATCCTGTGAGGACAGACGAGAGGCCCCCGAGGCCACCGTGCAAAGCAGGGGAGAGGACGGGATGGCAGAGGTACCAGCGGGGACACCCATAGAGCCTGGAGCCCCCAGCCGGGGAGCCCTGGGGGAAGGGGCCAGCGTGGCGTCTAGGCGCCGAAAAGAAACAAAGGAGGTGAAAGACCCGGAGGACGCTGTGTCAGAGGGGAAGCCTGGGGTGAGCTCAGCCCCACAAGGCAGGGAGGGCCTCGGGGAGGTGGCTCAGGGCATGGAAATTGGGATTGCCGGATCGGCTCTGCAAGGCAAAGGAGACGCACAGGGCCACCAACCAGAATTCCAAATCCAAATACCCAGTTTAAAAACACCCGTGTTTAAATTTTCCAAAGAAAGAAAGCAAGACACAGAAGGAGGCACAGCACCGCTGGTCCAGGAGGACGGGCAGGGAGGGACCGCGGCACAGGAGACCCGCCCCGCGGGGGAGGGGGTGCCAGGACCTCAGCTGGCGGCACCCCAGAAGCCCAAAGCGCACCTGCCAGAGCAGGAAGAAGGAGGAGCAGGGGGCGCTGAGGAAGGTCACAGGGGAAGAGGGAAGAAGGATGGGGACAAAGACAGAGGAGGGAGGGAGGAGAGGTGGACAGTGCTCAAGTTCAACATGCCCTCCTTCACATGGTCGCCCAGGAAGGACGCGAGAGCAGCCGCGGAGAAGCCCGTCCTGGCCTCGGACCAGGAAACAGGAAGCACTGTGACAGTGAGGTCACTACAGGCAGAAGACAAAGAAATACTAGAAGAGAAAGAAGAAGAACGAGACACGAGAGGGGGACAGCCACCAGGACCAGAGGAACAAAGACTGGAGCTTGAGAGGAAACAAGGGGACCTGTCCCTGGGAGACCAGGAGGTGGCCGCCACAGACAGCAAGTTCAAGATGCCCAAGTTCAAGATGCCGTCCTTCGGCGCGTCAGCGCCAAGCAAGGATTTGGGAACATCTGTGGACGTGTCAGTGCCCAGGGTCAGAGCCGAGGCCACACTGCCCTCCCTGGGAGGCGAGGTGAGAGCCCCAGAGGGTGCCGTCCAAGTGCCCACTGCTGATATCGACTTGCCAGGGGGAGAGCTGGAGGTGTCCCTCCCCGAGGGAGAGGTGGCTGTGTCCGGGCTGGAGGGCAAAGCAGAAGGGGTCAAGATCAAGGGCCAGCTGCCCAAAGTGCAGATGCCCAGCCTGAAGATGGCCAAGGAGGACATCAAGGCCCCCCAGGTGGATATCAAGGGGCCCAAAGTGGACCTGAAGGGCGCCAAAGGGGAAGTGAGTGTCCCCGACATGGAGGTGTTGCTACCCACCGTGGAGGTGGATGCACAGGTGCCCGGTGCCAAGGTGGAGGCTGCCCTGTCCCTGGGAGACAAGGAGGTAGCTGCCAGAGACAGCAAGTTCAAGATGCCCAAGTTCAAGATGCCTTCCTTCAGCATGTCAGTGCCAAGCAAGGATTTGGGAACATCCGTGGACGTGGAAGTGTCAGTGCCCAAGGTCAGAGCCGAGGCCACACAGCCCTCTCTGGGAAGGGAGGTGCGAGCCCCAGAGGGTGCCATCCAAGTGCCCACTGCTGATATCGACCTCCCTGGGGAGGAGCTGGAGGTGTCCGTCCCTGAAGGAGAGGTGGCTGTGACCGGGCCAAAGGGCAAAGCCGAAGGGGTCAAGATCAAGGGCCAGCTGCCCAAAGTGCAGATGCCGAGCCTCAAGATGCCCAAGGTGGACATCAAGGCCCCCCAGGTGGACATCAAGGGGCCCAAACTGGACCTGAAGGGCACCAAAGGGGAGGTGAGCGCCCCCGACATGGAGGTGTCCCTACCCAGCGTGGAGGTGGACACCCAGGTGTCCGGCGCAAAGGTGGAGGCTGACCTGTCACTGGAAGTCAAGGACGTGGCTGCCAGAGACAGCAAGTTCAAGATGCCCAAGTTCAAGATGCCGTCCTTTGGCACGTCGGCACCAAGCAAGTCCTTGGAAGCCTCTGTGGATGTGTCCCTGCCCAAGGTACAGGCTGAGGTTTCCATGCCCTCTATCCAGGCCGACATCAAGACCAGTGACGTGACCATTGAGCTGCCATCTGCCGACCTAGACGTCAAGACTGCCTCGGTGGGCCTGAAGCTCCCTGAGGGCCAAGAGCCTGAGGGGAAGCTCCAGGAACCCTCAGCCTCAGCCGGACTCAAAGGGCACCTACCCAAGGTGCAGATGCCCAGCATCAAAATGCCCAAAGTGGACTTCAAGGCCCCCCAGGTGGACATCAGGGGGCCTAAACGGGACCTGAAGGGCACCAAAGGGGAGGTTAGCACCCCCAATATGGAGGTGTCCCTACCCACCATGGAGCTGGACACCCAGGTGCTTGGCACCAAGGTAGAGGCTGACCTGTCTGTGGGAGACAAAGAGGTGGTCTCCAGAGACAGCAAGTTCAAGATGCCCAAGTTCAAGATGCCGTCCTTTGGTGTGTCAGTGCCAAGCAAGGATTTGGGAACATCCGTGGACGTGTTGGTGCCCAAGGTCGGAACTGAGACCACACTGCCCTCCCTGGGAAGGGACGTGCGAGCCCCAGAGGCTGCCGTCCAAGTGGCCACTGCTATCGACCTCCCTGGGGGAGAGCTGGAGGTGTCCTTCCCCGAGGGAGAGGTGGCTGTGTCTGGGCTGAAGGGCAAAGCAGAAGGGGTCAAGATCAAGGGTCAGCTTCCCAAAGAGCAGATGCCCAGCCTCAAGATGCCCAAGGTGGACATCAAGGCCCCCCAGGTGGACATCAAGGGGCCCAAACTGGACCTGAAGGGCGTCAAAGGGGAGGTGAGTGCCCCTGACGGGGAGGTGTCTCTTCCCAGCATGGAGGTGGACTCCCAGGTTCCCGATGCCAAGGTGGAGGCTGACCTGTCTGTGGGAGAAAAGGAGGTGGCTGCCAGAGACAGCAAGTTCAAGATGCCCAAGTTCAAGATGCCGTCCTTTGGCGCATCAGGACTAAGCAAGTCCTTGGAAGCCTCTGTGGATGCGTCCCTGCCCAAGGTACAGGCTGAGGTTTCCATGCCCTCTATCCAGGCCGACGTCAAGACCAGTGACGTGACCTTTGAGTTGCCATCAGCCGACCTAGACATCAAGACTGTCTCGGTGGGCCTGAAGCTCCCTGAGAGCCAAGATCCCAAGGGGGAGCTCCAGGAACGCTCAGCCGCAGGCGGACTCAAAGGACACCTGCCCAAGGTGCAGATGCCCAGTATCAAAATGCCTAAAGTGGACTTCAAGGACCCCCAGATGGACATCAAGGGGCCCAAACTGGACCTGAAGGCTGCCAAAGGAGAGGTGAGCGCCCCCGACATGGAGATGTCCCTACCCACCATGGAGGTGGATGCCCAGGTTCCTGAGGCCAAGCTGGAAGCGGACCTGTCCATGGGAGACAAGGAGGTGGCCGCCAGAGAGAGCAAGTTTAAGATGCCCAAATTCAAGATGCCGTCCTTCGGCGTGTCAGTGCCAAGCAAGGATTTGGGAACATCCGTGGACATGTTGGTGCCCAAGGTTGGAGCCGAGGCCACACTGCCCTCCCTGGGAGGGGAGGTGCGAGCCCCAGAGGGTGCTGTCCAAGTGGCCACTGCTGTTATCGACCTCCCAGGGGGAGAGTTGGAGGTGTCCCTCCCCAAGGGAGAGGTGGCTGTGTCTGGGCTGAAGGGCAAATCAGAAGGGGTCAAGATCAAGGGTCAGCTGCCCAAAATGCAGATGCCCAGCCTGAAGATGCCCACGGTGGACATCAAAGCCCCCCAGGTGGATATCAAGGCCCACCAGGTGGACATCAAGGGGCCCGAACTGGACCTGAAGGGCGCCAAAGGGGAGGTGAGCGTCCCCGACATGGAGGTATTCCTGCCCAGCGTGGAGGTGGATGCCCAGGTGCCTGGCGCCAAAGTGGAGGCTGACCTGTCCCTGAGAGACAAGGAGGTGGCCACCAGAGACAGCAAGTTCAAGATGCCCAAGTTCAAGATGCCATCCTTCGGTGCATCGGTGCCAAGCAAGTCCATGGAAGCCTCTGTGGATGCGTCCCTGCCCAAGGTCCAGGCTGAGGTTTCCATGCCCTCTATCCAGGCTGACGTCAAGACCAGTGACGTGACCATTGAGCTGCCATCTGCCCACCTAGAGGTCAAGACTGCCTCGGTGGGCCTGAAGCTCCCTGAGGAGCAAGTGCCTGAGGGGGAGCGCCAGGAAACCTCGGTCGCAGGCGGACTCAAAGGGCATCTGCCCATGGTGCAGATACCCAGTATCAAAATGTCCAAAGTGGACTTCAAGGCCCCCCAGGTGGACATCAGGGGGCCCAAACTGGACCTGAAGGGCACCAAAGGGGAGGTGAGCGCCCCCGACATGGAGGTGTCCCTACCCACCGTGGAGCTGGATGCCCAGGTGCCCAGCACCAAGGTGGAGGCTGACCTGACCTTGGGAGACAAAGAGGTTGCCTCCAGAGACAGCAAGTTCAAGATGCCCAAGTTGAAGATGCCGTCCTTTGGTGTGTCGGCGCCAAGCAAGGATTTGGGAACATCCATGGATGTGGAAGTGTCACTGCCCAAGGTCAGAGCTGAGGCCTCACTGCCCTCCCTGGGAAGGGAGGTTCAAGCGCCAGAGGGTGCCGTCCAACTGCCCACTGCTGACATCGACCTCCCGGGGGAAGAGATGGAGGTGTCCCTCCCCGAGGGAGAGGTGGCTGTGTCCGGGCTGAAGGACAAAGCAGAAGGGGTCAAGATCAAGGCCCAGCTGCCCAAAGTGCAGATGCCCAGCCTCAAGATGCCCAAGGTGGATATCAAGGCCCCCCAGGTGGATATCAAGTGCCCCCAGTTGGACATCAAGGGGCCCAAACTGGACCTGAAAGGCGCCAAAGGGGAGGTGAGTGCCCCTGATGTGGAGGTGTCCCTGCCCAGGGTGGAGGTGGATGCCCAGATGCCCGGTGCCAAGGTGGAGGCTGATCTGTCCCTGGGAGACAAGGAGGTGGCCTCCAGAGACAGCAAGTTCAAGATGCCCAAGTTCAAGATGCCGTCCTTCGGCGCGTCGGCACCAAGCAAGGATCTGGGTACATGCATGGACGTGTCGGTGCCCAAGGTCGGAGCCGAGGCCACACTGCCCTCTCTGGGAGGGAAGGTACAAGCCCCAGAGGATGCCGTCCAAGTGGCCACTGCTGATATCGACCTCCCAGGAGGAGAGCTGGAGGTGTCCCTCCCCAAGGGAGAAGTGGCTGTGTCCGGGCTGAAGGGCCAAGCAGAAGTGGTCAAGATCAAGGGCCACCTGCCCAAAGTGCACATGCCCAGCCTAAAGATACCCACGGTGGACATCAAGGCCCCCCAGGTGGACATCAAGGGGCCCAAACTGGACCTGAAGGGCACCAAAGGGGAGGTGAGCGCCCCCGAAGTGGAGGTGTCCCTACCCACCGTGGAGGTGGATGCCCAGGTGCCCAGCGCCAAGGGGGAGGCTGAACTGTCCATGGGAGACAAGGACGTGGCCGCCCGAGACAGCAAGTTCAAGATGCCCAAGTTCAAGATGCCGTCCTTTGGCACGTCGGCGCCAAGCAAGTCCTTGGAGGCCTCTGTGGATCCGTCCCTGCCAAAGGTACAGGCTGAGGTTTCCATGCCCTCCATCCAGGCTGACGTCAAGACCAGTGACGTGACCATTGAGCTGCCATCTGCCGACCTAGATGTCAAGACTGCCTCGGTGGACCTGAAGCTCCCTGAAGGACAAGTGCCCGAGGGGGAGCTCCAGGAACCCTCGGCCGCAGGCGGACTCAAAGGGCACCTGCCCAAGGGGCAGATGCCCAGCATCAAAATGCCCAAAGTTGACTCCAAGGCCCCCCAGGTGGACATCAGGGGGCCCATACTGGACCTGAAGGGTGCCAAAGGGGAGGTGAGCACTCCCGACATTGAGGTGTCCCTGCCCAGTGTGAAGGAGGACGCCCAGGTGTCCGGCGCCAAGGTGGAGGCTGACGTATCCGTGGGAGAAAAGGAGGTGGCCTCCAGAGACAGCAAGTTCAAGATGCCCAAGTTCAAGATGCCATCCTTCGGCGTGTTGGCACCAAGCAAGGATTTGGGAACATCCATGGACATGGAAGTGTCACTGCCCAAGGCCAGAGCTGAGGCCACACTGCCCTCCCTGGGAAGGAAGGTGCAAGTCCCAGAGGGTGCCGTCCAAGGGCCCACTGCTGATATTGACCTCCCTGGGGGAGACCTGGAAGTGTCCCTCCCTGAGGGAGAGGTGGCTGTGTCTGGGCTTAAGGGTAAAGCAGAAGGGGTCAGGATCAAGAGCCAGCTGCCCAAAATGCAGATGCCGAGCCTCAAGATGCCTAAGGTGGACATCAAGGCCCCCCAGGTGGATATCAAGGCCCCCCAGGTGGACATCAAGGGGCCCAAACTGGACCTGAAAGGGGCCAAGGGGGAGGTGAGCACCCCCGACGTGGAGATGTCCCTGCCCAGCGTGGAGGTGGACGCCCAGGTGCCCGGTTCCAAGGAGGAGGCTGACCAGTCCCTGGGAGACAAGGAGGTAGCCGCCAGAGACAGCAAGTTCAAGATGCCGAAGTTCAAGATGCCGTCCTTCAGCACGGCGGCGCCAAGCAAGGATTTGGGAATATCCGTGGACGTGTCAGTGCCCAAGGTCGGAACTGAAGCCACCCTGCCCTCCCTGGGAGGGGAGGTGCGAGCCCCCGAGCGTGCCGTCCAAGTGGCCACTGCTGATATCGACCTCCCAGGTGGAGAGCTGGAGGTGTCCCTTCCCGAGGGAGTGGTGGCTGTGTCCGGGCTGAAGGGCAAAGCAGAAGGGGTCAAGATCAAGGGTCAGCTGCCCAAAATGCAGATGCCCAGCCTGAAGATACCCACAGTGGACATCAAGGTCCCCCAGGTGGACATCAAGGCCCCCCAGGTGGACATCAAGGGGCCCAAACTGGACCTGAAGGGTGCCAAAGGGGAGGTGAGTGCCCCCGACATGGAGGTGTCCCTGCCCAGCGTGGAGGTGGACGCCCACGTTCCCGACGCCAAGCTGGAGGCTGACCAGTCCCTGGGAGACAAGGAGGTGGCCGCCAGAGACAGCAAGTTCAAGATGCCCAAGTTCAAGATACCGTCTTTTGGCGCGTCGGTGCCAAGCGAGTCCTTGGAAGTGTCTGTGGACCCATCCCTGCCCAAGGTACAGGCTGAGATTTCCATGCCCTCTATCCAGGCCGACGTCAAGACCAGTGAAGGAACCTTTGAGCGGCCATCTGCCGACCTAGACGTCAAGACTGGGTTGGTGGGCCTGAAGATCCCTGAGGGCCAAGTGCCCGAGGGGGAGCTCCAGGAACCCTCAGCCGCAGGCAGACTCAAAGGGCACCTACCCAAGGTGCAGATGCCCAGCGTCAAAATGCCCAAAGTGGACTTCAAGGCCCCCCAGGTGGACATCAGGGGGCCCAAACTGGACCTGAAGGGCGCCAAAGGGGAGGTGAGCACCCCTGACAAGGAGGCGTCCCTACCTGCTGTGGAGGTGGACGCCCAGGTGCCGAGCACAAAGGGGGAGGCTGACCTGTCCGTGGGAGACAAGGAGGTGGCCACCAGAGACAGCAAGATCAAGATGCCCAAGTTCAAGATGCCTTCCTTCGGCGTGTCAGTGCCAAGCAAGGATTTGGGAACATCTATGGACGTGGATGTGTCACTGCCCAATGACAGAGCCGAAGCCACACTACCCTCCCTGGGAAGGGAGGTGCGAGCCTCAGAGGGTGCCATCCAAGTGCCCACTGTTGATATCGACCTCCCGGGGGGAGAGCTGGAGGTGTCTGTCCCTGAGGGAGAGGTGGCTGTGACCGGGCCAAAGGGCAAAGCAGAAGGGGTCAAGATCAAGGGCCAGCTGCCCAAAGTGCAGATGCCGAGCCTCAAGATGCCCAAGGTGGACATCAAGGCCCCCCAGGTGGATATCAAGGGGCCCAAACTGGACCTGAAATGTGCCAAAGTGGAGGTTAGCACCCCCGATGTGGAGGTGTCCCTGCCCAGCATGGAGGTGGACGCCCAGGTTCCTGGTGCCAAGGTGGAGGCTGACCTGTCCCTGGGAGACAAGGAGGTGGCCGCCAGAGACAGCAAGTTCAAGATGCCCAAGTTCAAGATGCCATCCTTCAGCTCATCGGCGCCAAGCAAGGATTTGAGAACATCCGTGGATATGTCAGGGCCCAAGGTTGGAGTCGAGGCCACCCTGCCCTCCCTGGGAAGGGAGGTGTTAGCCCCAGAAGGTGACGTCCTAGTGCCCACTGCTGATATCGACCTACCGGGGAGTGAGCTGGAGGTGTCCCTCCCCGAGGGAGAAGTGGCTGTGTCTGGGCTGAAGGGCAAAGCAGAAAGGGTTAATATCGAGGGTCAGCTGCCCAGTGTGCAGATGCCCAGCCTGAAGATGCCTACGGTGGACATCAGGGCCCACAAGGTGGACATCAAGGCTCCCCAAGTGGACATTAAGGGGCCCAAACTGGACCTTAAGGGTGCAAAAGAGGAGGTGAGAGCCCCCGACGTGGAAGTGTCCCTGCTGAGCTTGGAGGTGGACGCCCAGGTACCCAAAGCCAAGCTGGAGGCTGACCTGTCACCGGAAGATAAGGAGGTGGCCACCAGAGACAGCAAGTTCAAGATGCCCAAGTTCAAGATGCCGTCCTTCGGTGCGTCAGTACCAAGGAAGTCCGTGGAAGCTTCTGTGGATGTGTCCCTGCCCAAGGTCCAGGCTGAGGTTTCCATGTTCTCTATCCAGGCTGACGTCAAGACCAGTGACATGACCATTGAGCTGCCATCTGCCGACCTAGACATCAAGACTGCCTCGGTGGGCCGGAAGCACCCTGAGGACCAAGTGTCTGAGAAGGAGCTCAAGGAACCCTCAGCCACAGGCAGACTCAAAGGGCACCTGCCCAAGGTGCAGATGCCCAGCATCAAAATGCCCAAAGTGGACTCCAAAGCCCCCCAGGAGGACATCAAGGGGCCCAAACTGGACCTGAAGGGCACCAAAGGGGAGGTGAGTGTCCCCGACATGGAGATGTCCCTACCCACCATGGAGGTGGATGTCCAGGTGCCCAGCGCGAAGGTAGAGGCTGACCTGTCTGTGGGAGACAAGGAGGTGGCCACCAGAGACAGCAAGTTCAAGATGCCCAAGTTCAAGATGCCGTCCTTTGGTGTGTCAGCGCCAAGCAAGGATTTGGGAACATCCGTGGATGTGGAAGTGTCAATGCCCAGTGTCAGAGCCGAGGCCACACTGGCCTCCCTGGGAAGGGAAGTGCAAGACCCAGAGGTTGCCGTCCAAGTGCCCACTGCTGGTACCGACCTCCCTGGGGAAGAGCTGGAGGTGTCCCTCCCCGAGGGAGAGGTGGCTGTGTCCGGGCTGAAGGACAAAGCAGAAGGGGTCAAGATCAAGGGCCAGCTGCCCAAAGTGCAGTTGCCGAGCCTCAAGATGCCCAAGGTGGACATCAAGGCCCCCCAGGTGGATATCATGGCCCCCCAGGTGGACATCAGGGCTCCCAAAATGGACCTGAACGGTGCCAAAGGGGAGGTGAGTGCTCCCGAAGTGGAGGTGTCCCTGCCCAGCATGGAGGTGGACACCCAGGTGCCCAGCGCCAAGGTGGAGGCCGACCTGTCCCTGGGAGACAAGGAGGTGGCCGCCAGAGACAGCAAGTTCAAGACGCCCAAGTTCAAGATGCTGTCATTCAGCACATCGGCACAAAGCAAGGATTTGGGAACATCCATGGACATGTCCCTGCCCAAGGTCGGAGCCAAGGCCACATTGCCCTCCCTGGGAAGGGAGGTGCGAACCCCAGAGGGTGCCGTCCAAGTGCCCATTGCTGATATCGACGTTCCGGGGGGAGAGCTGGAGGTGTCCCTCCCCGACGGAGAGGTGGCTGTGTCCGAGCTGAAGGGCAAAGCAGAAGGGGTCAAGATCAAGGGTCAGCTGCCCAAAGTGCAGATACCCAGCCTGAAGATGCCTACGGTGGACATCAAGACCCCCCAGGTGGACATCAAGGCCCCCCAGGTGGACATCAAGGGGCCCAAACTGGACCTGAAGGGCGCCAAAGGGGAGGTGAGTGCCTCTGACGTGGAAGTGTCCCTGCCCAGCGTCGAGGTGGACGCCCAGGTACCTGACGCCAAGTTGGAGGCTGACCTGTACCTAGGAGACAAGGAGGTGGCTGGCAGAGACAGCAAGTTCAAGATGCCCAAGTTCAAGATGCCGTCCTTCGGCACGTCGGGGTCAAGCAAGTCCTTGGAGGCCTTTGTGGACCCGTCCCTGCCCAAGGTACAGGCTGAGGTTTCCATGCCTTCTATCCAGACCGACGTCAAGACCAGTGACGTGACCATTGAGCTGCCATCTGCCGACCTAGACATCAAGACTGCCTCGGTGGGCCTGAAGCTGCCTGAGGGTCAAATGTCCGAGAGGGAGCTCCAGGAACCCTTGGCTGCAGGCGGACTCAGAGGACACCTGCCCAAGGTGCAGATGCCCAGCATCAAAACGCCCAAAGTGGACTTCAAGGACCCCCAGGTGGACATCAAGGGACCCAAACTGGATCTGAAGGGCGCCAAAGGGGAGGTGAGCGCCACCAACGTGCAGGCATCCCTACCCACCTTGGAGGTGGACACCCAGGTGCCCGGTGCCAAGGTGGAAGCTGACCTGTCCATGGGAGACAAGGAGGTGGCCGACAGAGACAGCAAGTTCAAGATGCCCAAGTTCAAGATGCCGTCCTTCGGCGCGTCGGCTCCAAGCAAGGATTTGGGAACATCCATGGACGTGTCCCTGCCCAAGGTAGGAGCCAAGGCAACACTGCCCTCCCTGGGAGGAGAGATGCAAGCCCCAGATGGTGCTGTCCAAAGGCCCGCTGCTGATATTGACCTCCCTGGGGGAGAGCTGCAGGTGTCCCTCCCCGAGGGAGAGGTGGCTGTGTCCGAGCTGAAGGGCAAAGCAGAAGGGGTCAAATTCAAGGGCCAGCTGCCCAAAGCACAGATGCCCAGCCTGAAGATGCCCAAGGTGGACATCAAGGCCCCCCAGGTGGATGTCAAGGCCCCCCAGGTGGACATCAAGAGGCCCAAACTGGACCTGAAATGCACAAAAGGGGAGGTGAGCTCCCCCGACACGGTGGTGTCCCTGCCCAGAGTGGAGGTGGACGCCCAGGTGCTTGGCACCAAGGTGGAGGCTGACCTGTCCCTGGGAGACAAGGAGGTAGCCACCAGAGACAGCAAGTTTAAGATGCCCAAGTTCAAGATGCCGTCCTTCGGCGCTTCGGTGCCAAGCAAAGATTTGGGAACATCCATGGACATGTCGGTGCCCAAGGTCGGAGCCGAGGCCACACTGCCCTCCCTGGGAGGGGAGGTGCGAGCCCCAGAAGGTGCCGTCCAAGCGCCCATTGCTGATATCAACCTCCCGGGGGGAGAGCTGGAGGTGTCCCTCCCCGAGGGAGAGGTGGCTGTGTCTGGGCTGAAGGGCAAAGAAGAAGGAGTCAAGATCAAGGGCCAGCTGCCCAAAGTGCAGATGCCGAGCCTCAAGATGACTAAGGTGGACATCAAGGCCCCCCAGGTGGACATCAGGTTCCCCCAGGTGGACATCAAGGGGCCCAAACTGGACCTCAAGGGCACCAAAGGGGAGGCAAGTGCCCCGGACATGGACATGTCCCTGTCCAGCATGGTGCTGGACGCCCAGGTTCCTGGCGCAAAGCTGGAGGCTGACCTGTTCCTGGGAGACAAGGAGTTGGCTGCAAGAGACAGCAAGTTCAAGATGCCCAAGTTCAAGATGCCGTCCTTCAGTGCGTCAGGGCCAAGCAAGTCCTTGGAAGCCCCTGTGGACACATCCCTGCCCAAGGTACAGGCTGAGGTTTCCATGTCCTCTATCCAGGCTGACGTCAAGACCTGTGACATGACCATTGAGCTGCCATCTGCCAACCTAGATGTCAAGACTGGGTTGGTGGGCCTGAAGATCCCTGAGGGCCAAGTGCCCAAGGGGGAGTGCCAGGAAACCTCGGCTACAGGCAGACTCAAAGGGCACCTGCCCAAGGTGCAGATGCCCAGCATCAAAATGCCCAAAGTGGACTTCAAGACCTCCCAGGTGGACATCAAGGGGCCCAAACTGGACCTGAAGGGCGTCAAAGGGGAGGTGAGTGCTCCCGAAGTGGAGGTGTCCCTACCCACTGTGGAGGTGGATGCCCAGGTGCCCTGCACTAAGGTGGAAGCTGACCTGTCCATGGGAGACAAGGAGGTGGCCACCAGAGACAGCAAGTTCAAGATGCCGTCATTTGGCATGTTGGCACCTAGCAAGGGTTTGGGAACATCCGTGGACATTTCGGTACCCAAGGTCAGAGCTGAAGCCACACTGCCCTCCCTGGGAGGAGAGGTGCGAACCACAGAGAGTGCCATCCAAGTGCCCACTGCTGATATCGACCTCCCAGGCGGAGAGCTGGAGGTGTCCCCCCCCGAAGGAGTGGTGGCTGTGTCCAGGCTGAAGGGCAAAGAAGAAGGGGTCAAGATCAAGGGCCAGCTCCCCAAAGTGCAGTTGCCCAGCCTCAAGATGCCCAAGGTGGACATCAAGGCCCCCCAGGTGGACATCAAGGGGCCCAAACTAGACCTGAAGGGCGCCAAAGGGGAGGTGAGCACCCCCGACGTGGAAGTGTCCCTACCGAGCGTGGAGGTGGACGTCCAGGTGTCCAGCGCCAAGGTGGAGGCTGACCTGTCCGTGGGAGACAAGGAGGTGGCAGCCAGAGATAGCAAGTTCAAGATGCCAAAGTTCAAGATGCCATCCTTCGGCATGTCAGTGCCAAGCAAGTCCTTGGAAGCCTCTGTGGACACGTCCCTGCCCAAGGTCCAGGCTGAGGTTTCCATGCCCTCTATCCAGGCCGACGTCAAGTCCAGTGACGTGACCATTGAGCTGCCATCTGCCGACCTAGACATCAAGACTGCCTCGGTGGGCCTGAAGCTCCTTGAGGGCCAAGTGCCCGAGGGGGAGCTCCAGGAACCCTCAGCCTCAGCCGGACTCAAAGGGCACCTGCCCAAGATGCAGATGCCCAGCATCAAAATGCCCAAAGTGGACATCAAGGCCCCCCAGGTGGACATCATGGGGCCCAAACTGGACCTGAAGGGTGCCAAAGGGGAGGTGAGCACCCCCGACGTGGAGGTGTCTCTACCGAGCGTGGAGGTGGACGCCCAGGTGTCCAGCGCCAAGGTGGAGGCTGACCTGTCCGTGGGAGACAAGGAGGTGGCCGCCAGAGACAGCAAGTTCAAGATGCCCAAGTTCAAGATGCCGTCCTTTGGCGCGTCGGCGCCAAGCAAGGATTTGGGAACATCTGTGGACGTGGACGTGTCGGTGCCCAAGGCCGGAGCCGAGACCACACTGCCCTCCCTGGGAAGGGAGGTGCGAGCCCCAGAGGGTGCCATCCAAGTGCCCACTGCTGATACCGACCTCCCTGGGGAAGAGCTGGAGGTGTCCCTTCCCGAGGGAGAGGTGGCTGTGTCTGGGCCGAAGGGCAAAGCAGATGGGGTCAAGATCAAGGGCCAGCTGCCCAAAGTGCAGATGCCGAGCCTCAAGATGCACAAGGTGGACATCAAGGCCCCCCAGGTGGACATCAAGGGGCCCAAAGTGGACCTGAAAGGCGCCAAAGGGGAGGTGAGCACCCCCGACGTCGAGGTGTCCCTGCCCAGTGTGGAGGTGAGCGCCCAGGTGTCCGGTGCCAAGGTGGAGGCTGGCCTGTCCCTGGGAGACAAGGAGGTGGCCGCCCGAGACAGCAAGTTCAAGATGCCCAAGTTCAAGATGCCATCCTTCGGCGCGTCGGTGCCAAGCAAGTCCGTGGAAGCCTCTGTGGATGCGTCCCTGCCCAAGGTCCAGGCTGAGGTTTCCATGCCCTCTATCCAGGCTGACGTCAAGTCCAGTGACGTGACGATTGAGCTGCCATCTGCCGACCTAGACATCAAGACTGCCTCGGTGGACCTGAAGCTCCTTGTGGGCCAAGTGCCCGAGGATGAGCCTCAGGAACCCTTGGCCGCAGCCGGACTCAAAGGGCACCTGCCCAAGGTGCAGATGCCCAGTATCAAAATGCCCAAAGTGGACTCCAAGGCCCCCCAGGTGGACATCAGGGGGCCCTTACTGGACCTGAAGGGTGCCAAAGGGGAGGTGAGCACCCCCAACGTGGAGGTGTCCCTGCCCAGCGTGGAGGTGGACGCCCAGGTGCCTGGCACCAAGATGGAGGCTGACCTTTCCCTGGGAGACAAGGAGGTGGCCGCCAGAGACAGCAAGTTCAAGATGCCGTCCTTCGGTGCGTCGGTGCCAAGCAAGTCCTTTGATGCCTCTGTGGACGTGTCCCTGCCAAAGGTACAGGCTGACGTTTCCATGCCGTCCATCCAGGCCGACGTCAAGACCAGTGACGTGACCATTGAGCTACCATCTGCCCACCAAGATGTCAACACTGCCTCGGTGGGCTTGAAGCTCCCTGAGGGCCAAGTGCCCGAGTGGGAGCTGCTGGAACCCTCAGCCGCAGCCGGACTCAAAGGGCACCTGCCCAAGGTGCAGATGCCCAGCATCAAAATGCCCAAAGTGGACTCCAAGGCCCCCCAGGTGGACGTCAAGGGGCCTAAACTGGACCTGAAGGACGCCAAAGGGGAGGTGAGCGCCCCTGACGTGGAGATGTCCCTGCCCACCGTGGAGGTGGATGCCCAGGTTCCTGTTGCCAAGCTGGATTCATCCTCTGGGGAGGTTGAAGTGTTTTCCAAAGCAACTAAGTTTAAATTTCCTAAAATCAGCATTTCCTCCTCTCGAACCTCCCCCAGTAAGCCTTCCCTGGTCTCTCCAGGGCTTGACATTCATGATAAAGTTACCCAGAATTCGCTTTCCTCAAGCCTCAGAGATCCAGTTGTCTCTGGTGGTGATCAGCATGCTTTCCATATGGAAGGTGATGTCGCCTTGTCAGTTGGAAAAGAAGGAGAAAAAAGCAAAAGCAAAAAATCCCATTTTAAATTGCTCAAAGTCTTCTCTCCGCCAGGGAAAGCAGATAAAGGCTTTGTAGCTTCTGCAGAGGAAACTGAGGTCCCTTTGCCTGTGAGGGCCTCAGCGTCCCCCTTAGAGTCAGGACATGGGGGGTCCCTGGGGACGCCTGTGGCTTCCGTGGAGACTTCCCTGCAGGTGTCCAGGCTGGGCTGGCTCAGTGGTCCCCATGGGGAATCGTCCTGCCTCAGTCCCAGTGAGGGTGTCACACTTACAAAATACCAGGTGACTGTCCCCAGAGGCCCCGTCCCTTCCGAGCTGCCTTGTGAAACCCCATCTGGGTCCCAGTTGCACGCTCAGCTTCCCAGCATGGCAGGTGCAGGCGACCTCCCCTCCAGTGAGAGCATTCTACTGTCCCAGCCTGACGGTCACACGAGCCCCGCGGACACTGTATTTCCCGAATCTTATGGCCGGGTGACTTTTCCTAAATTTCATCGACCAAAGTTCCGACTGTCACTGCCAACATCAGCCGCTGCAGTGGTGGAGCCTGGAGCTGCCGAGCGTGCGCCCCCCACGTCCCCACCACTCGCTGCACAGGGACTGGACTCCTCCGTGGAGGAAGCCACGGCGTTCCCAGTGCCAGAGGGTCATCTGCCACCTGCAGGTGTCTCTGCGTCCACGGCAGCGGAGGGACAGGCAGGCACTGCGGGGACGTCAGCAGTGGCCCCAGAGGAAGCCCCAGCTGAAGGTGTGGGGCGCAAGGGCAAAGGCAGGCCCGTGACAGCCCCGAGGCTCAAGCTTCCCTCCTTCAGCTGGTCCCCGAAGAAGGGGGCGGAGCCCAAAGCAGACCCTGGACACAGCCCGGCTGTCACTGCAGATGCTCTGGGCAGCCCGCCCGGGGGTCCCATTACACCTGCAGAAGCTGGTGCGGATGTGTCTCTCGGGAAGGACGGAGAGGCGGGAGCAGTCAGGACACCAGCCCTTGCCCAGATGAAGGTCGCACCTCCCGGAATGGAGGCTTCCACACGGGGGGCCGGCCTGCCCCGGGGAGACCCAGTCCTGGCCCTTGCCGGCCCCACAGACACGGCCAGTGGTAAGGGCGGTGTTGGAGGTGCTGGCACAGCCACAGGCCCCCCAGAAGGAGCAGATGTGAGCCTCCACCTCCCGGAGGCCCCTGTTCCCAGCGCGGGCTTTGTCAAACCTGACCTCAGCCCCGGGGATGCCACGGTAGAGGGGAGCCTGTCTACAGGCCACCTTCCTCTTCCCAAACACGGCCTGTCTCTCAGGGACAGCACCCAAGAGCACGGGCCTGGGGACAGCTCAGCAAGCCAGCTCTGTGGGGACATGACGGCCTCCTCGGTGGAAGACCCCCTTCAGCCATCCCCAGCGGTGGGGAGCCCAGAGAGGGATGCAGCCGTGGGAGAAGCGCCAGCGGGCCCCAGGGAGAGCTGGTTTAGGATGCCCTCACTCCGTCTGCCCAGCTTCGGACGCCCCCCCAAAGAGCGGGTGGACTCTGCAGGGCTGGGGGCTCAGAGGCCCGCGCCGGTGACGGCTGGTGTGCAAGGGGAAGGAGAGGCCACGGCTGGGAGGCAGAGTCCGGATGCCTGTGCACCTGCGTCGGAGGTGGACGCTGCTAAGTCCCTGCAGCCCCCCGAGGCTGGTGCAGATGGGGCAGCTGTAGGCAGCCCGGCTTCCTCCTATGCAGATGTTCTTCGGAGGAATCTTGATCCTCACGCCCCTGCGGGGCCATCAGCTTCCGAGGTCAGGGTCCGGCCGGGTGCAGGCTCCCTGCCCCTCCAGCTGCATGGGGTGCTTGCAGAGCCCCGCGGCCCTCCAGGAGAAGCAGGTGAGCCCCCTCTTCCTGGACCAGCAGGCCAGGGCCTGGGCAGAAGGGCCCAGGGGGCCGAGGGGCCGCCTTCCCAGCCTGAGGGCCCTGTCAGACTGAGGGCTTCCAGTACGGATGTGCCATCCCAGGTTTCCGTAGTCAACGTGGGTCAAGTCTGGGAAGACTCTGTGCTACGTGTCCAGTTCCCCAAGTTAAAGGTACCGAGGTTCAGCTTCCCGGCCCCCAGCTTGGAGGCTGACATTTTCGTGCCCAGTGTGAGAGAGCTGTCATCCTGCCCGCAGAGCGGTCCTGACACAGCCCTGCTGGAACAAAGCCCTGGCGGGCGGGGCACCAGCATCCCGAAGGCCCCCGTGGCCCTCGGCCTCTCCTCGGAAGCTGCCCCCATTTGTAAGGTCAGAGTGCACATTCAGGGCGCGGAGGCTGCCAGCCGCAAGGTGGCCGTGCACAGCACGGTGACCGCCGGGTACACCGAGCTCTCGGGGCCCGAGGCCTTTCCCACCCAGATCGTGCAGGAGTCAGAGGTCCCTGCATCAGAGACCCAAACACCTTCCTGTGGGTTTTCCTTGCTAAAGGGGAGGGTCCCAGAACCCCCCCCTCGGGCGCGGGTGCACCTGGTGACCGCAGAGTGCGGGCTGGGGGAGCGCCTTCGAGAGGCTCAGGAACCCATCCCAGGAGCAGACCCCGTTTCTGGAGACCTCCAGCCTGACACCGGAGAGCCTTTTGAAATTATCTGTCCCAATGTAGACGTGCCGGGACCGCCAGCGTGTTCATCTGACCTTCACTCTGGCCATGGGCCTGCCGACAGCTGTTCTGACGAGGAGCCCGCGGAAATCCTCGAATTCCTGCCGGAGGAGGGCCAGGAGGCAGAGGAGGCCGAGGCTCCCAAAGCAAAACCTGAAGGGAAAAGGTCCTCTGGTCTGTTCCGGTTTTGGCTCCCGAGCATTGGGTTTTCTTCCTCGGCCTCCGAGACAAGTGCCGATTCCCAAGCCGATGCCCAGAGACCGGCTCCTGTGCAGACCCAGCCCGAGGCGCGGACCCCTCCCTCGCAGGAGAAGGGGGGCTGGTTCCGATTTCCTAAGTTGGGGTTCTCCTCCTCCCCTACCAAGAAAAGCAAAAGTGAGGAAGAGGAGGTGAGTCTGGCCGAGCAGAGTCTCCAAGAGGAGGCAGGTACCTTCTACGACGCACGAGAAAGCTTCTCCCCGGAAGAGACAGGAGCAGGGGAGCTGGCGGAGGCCGCGGGCGCCAGGCGGGGCTCCGGGACCATGGTGACCTCCGCGGCGAGAACCGAGCTGATCCTGCTGGAGCAGGACGGAGCCGCCAGCCAGCAGTCTGCACCCAGGCCCGCCACCAAATGAGGGCCGGGAAGGGGTGACTGTTCCGCGGAGGACAGACGCCCGCACCAAGTCCCGAAGCAGAACCCCGGCCACACGGAGCTCCCATCCCGACCACGCCGGCGTCCACGCCGTCCACCGCACTCCCGGCACTAAGACGCAGGACACCAGCCAGGCGACCGCCACGCGGCCCTCCAACGGGGCGGGGGCCCGAGCTGCGGAAGCAGGGAGGCAGCCTGACAGCCCAGGTGCCAGGGGCTGCCCGGGGTAGGGGTGCTGTGCAGGCTGCTGGGGTGAGGTCTCCATGAACCATGCCTCCAGAGACCCACCACAGTGCCCAGCGCAGCCGGGCCACGCCCCCGGGGACAGGATGTTAACGGCCGTAGGTGTAGACCCAGTGTCTGCCATGGCCCCGCCCTGTCCTGCTGCTTTGGGCCACATCGTTTCCCTCGATGCCAGGCAGAGTCTGGTGCATTCCAGGAAACCCCACTGCCTGCTCACTTGTAAGGAGCGCACTCCCGTGCTGAACGCCTCACCGAGGCGAGCTTCGGGATGCCTGGTGCAGACGGTGCCCACGCCGCGGAGCGTGGCGGCTGAGCCTGCCTTCTCCATGGCCGCTTGGGGCGGGTGAGCCGGCGGAGGTCTGCACCGTCCCGTGCTCGCACAGCCCCCCACGTGCCCCTGTGCCCCCCACTGCACACGCTTCAGCCAGGCTGCCGGTGGAACCCCCCCCAGTGGACAATAAAGGACAAGACGCATCCCACAGCACCGGCTGCGAGGTCTTTTATTTCTGCTCGTGCTCCGCTCACCCACTCCCAGAACCAACCTCCCCCAGGTTGCCCTAGAGGAGAGTTAGGGGTGACTCTTAGAGTGGTCCTCTGCCTGTCGTGGGTCAGGCAGCCAGAAGGAGGCTCAGGCCAGGAGCTCAGAGCGAGGCCACGCTGTCGGGGACACGGCACCATGCCCAGCGGGAAGGCAGCACAGGGATGGAGCAGGGCAGACGTCCTTGGCCGTGATGGGGACCCATCTCGGGGGCTTCCTTCCCTTCCTCCCAAGCAGCGCCCGGGAGCAAATCCCCAGGCCGGGTACCCAGTCTCCACCTCTCAGCCGCCCCGCGGTGCTCCTCCCGGGCCCACCGCTCGCAGCGTCCCCAGCGCGGACTGCCTCGTCCCCCCCTGGCCCGGGGGGCTCCTGGTGACCTGCTCCTTTTCCCTCTCAGGCTGTGGGTGCTGCAGCAAGAGCTGGGCCGTGAGCCCTCCACCTGGTGCCGCCCCGGCAGGGAGAGCGGAGGGCTCCCCTCCCACTGTGCGCACACCGTGCCCTTCCCTGTGGCTGACGGGGGAGGGCACCCATGCCAGGGGATGTGGAATCCTCGGGAAAATGGGCAGTTCATGATTGACAAAGGGGAGGAAAGGCAGTGGGGTGTTTGTCCCGAGGTCGAGCGAGACAAGCACCCCCAGGCCGAGGCTCCGGCCTGTCCCGTATGTCAGAGGCGGCGAGTGCCGTCCTCCTGGGAACGCCACCGTGGGGGTCTGCCAGGCTCCATGGGCTTCTTGCCTCATCTGAAGCTGGAGTCAAGGCCTGAGATATTGGGGCCTCGGTGCTGGAGGCAGGAGGGGCAGCAGAGTCTTCCCACGCGGCATCCATGCCATGGCACGGCGTTGCCACAGGCCGGCAGCTGAAGACCGCACACATTAATGACCTCCCGGTTTCCATGGATCAGGAGTCCAAGCCCCGCTTAGCTGGGTCCTCTGCCCAGGGTCCTGCAGGCTACAGTCGGGGTGTGAGCTGGGGCTGGGGTCTCAACTCCTGTCCAAGTGGGGAAGGAGTTGCTAGCTCCACTCAGTCCTTGCAGGCTGGATGCCCGAGGGCCACTGCGTCTTGCTGGCCACTCTCGGTGCCCTGCCACAGGGGCCTCCCTGACCGACCGGCCACAGCCTAGGAGCTTGCTTCATCCAGCCAGCAAGGAACGGACTCCCAGCAAGACGGTTACAAACATGTCACACAGTCACGGCTGTGATGCTCCAGCACCTTCGTGTGTTCTATTGGTTACAAGCAAAGACAGGTTGTGCCTACCCCCACGGGGAGGGGGTCACACAGGATATGGGTTCCAGGGGGCAGGGTCGTGAGGACCATTTTAGAGTCTGTCCACCGTGGCCCAGAAGGAGTCACGTCAAGGCACCCCGGAGGACCTCTTCAGCCTCATCAAGCTGGGTCTCCTGTCGGGGGGGTCTGCTTTGGAACGGGCCTTCGAGGCTGCCACTGGGGAGGGCCACTGGGCCGTTGGCTGTGGTTTTGTCCCAGCACGGCCTGGAGCACGGAGCCCTGCTAGCTCGTGGCTGACCGGCCCGGGGACAACACAGCTGTGGGGCCAGGACCAGAGAGCAGACTCCCGCAAGCAGCCCTGGAGAGCACATGGGGCTGCAACAGCATCTCCCCCTGACGGGCGTCGCTGTGCAATCCACGGGCGGGGGATGCGAGCCGTGGGGAGCTGCCATAGCGGCCCCGGGGCTTGGTTTGGCCCAGTGCAGCTCACACACAGGCCAGCTCCCAGAGGCCGTGGATGCCTTGCAGGGCCGCGTGGGTCCACGGCACCCTTTTCAGACCCTTGCAGGTCTGGGCAGGAGGGCAGGCTGGGCTCAGGGACCTTCTTCACCACCAAGTATGCTGACGTGTAGGGGGCCCAATGGCAGCCCATCAGCTCACTCTGGGGCAGAGAGGACTAGGGGGGCAGGGAAGAGGCACCCCAGGATGTGGGAGAGCAGGACCCTGGTATGTACTTGATTAGCTCCCTCAGCATCCAGTGTCCCTTGGGTCACTGAGCTAGCCCCAAGCTCCAGCCTAGGGTGGGCTCCACAGGTTGGTTGGGCTCTGAAGCCTTGGTCAGAAACCAGGAGTTGAGAGAGGCCAAGGTGCGCTGAGACAGGCTTCTGACCCAGCAGAAGGGTCAGAACCCAGGTGTCCAACAGGATTCAGATCCTGCCTCTGCAGGGCAAGTGCTGGGTGCATCCCAGGACAGGGTCAGCTCCAGCAGGTCTGTATCCAAGTCCCCACCCCAGCTTGGTGCCAACACCCCACCCCCAACCCCTGGCTCAAAACCAGGTTCTCTCAACTCTACGCACAGTGCTGAGCCCCACTACACACGGTCCTGAGGGCCGTACAGCAGCCCCGCACCCACCTCCCCTCTCCAGGACCCGTGCCCACAGTCCTGGGCCACACTGTCCTAGCACCTGCCCCGGCCCCACCCCCCGGTCCCTGTGAGTGGGGACTGGGCTCCGGCAGACACACAGAGCAGGCTTGCCCAGCAACCTCACAGGGTCAGGGCTGCAGAACTCCAACTGGGGCCAGGAGGAGTGGATGCAGCCCATGCTGGACTCACACAGACAGGCAGGGAGGTGCTTGTGTATTCTAAAGCCCCCCTTTGTGGGTGGGTATTGTGGCTCTGTGGGTCAGGGAGGAGCATCCTGGAAGGCTCTCTGGAGGAGGTGGGGTGTAAGAGGGGCTGGTTCGGGACCTGGGCGCGAGCAAACAGTCTGCACCTGCCAGGAGTTGGGAGGTCCTGGCCCTGAGCAGGGCTTGTGAGGACGGGCAGCTTGGAGCCCCGACAGGGGGACAGGTGGGGAGGCGCAGTGGGAGGCGGCGTCCATGGGGAGCTGTGGGGCCGGGGCTTGGGCGGAGCTGCACCTCAGCCCTGCCAAGCACAGTCCTGGCCCTGGGCTTGTCCGTCCAGGCCCACGGCGTAGCGGGAATCCCAGTCTCGCTCGAACAGGTGGCGCAGCCGCTCCTGCACGGTGGGCACCCCTGGCCGGGTGCTGGAGGCTCTCTGGCTGACCACCAGGCCCACCCCTGAGGTGCTGCTGAAGTAATCTTCCGACCAGTTGGAGGTGCCTGGGGGTGGTGGATGGGGAGGGGTCCCTGGGTGACCGGGCTCCCCCAGGCCCCTCCGCAGGGCCCAGTCATGAGGCTCAGCCACGCTCTGGGGACAGAGGGGCACAGCGGCCACCCCCCGCTGCCAGAAACCCCAGCTGGGGCAGCCCCTCAGAGGCAGGAGGCCCAGCTAGCTCTCCACGCGTGTGGGGCTCCGTCCACGTCTTCCCGGAACAGCTGTCCTGACTCAGTGTCCTGAAAACTCAGTGCTCAGGACTTCCCACCTGCCTGGGTCCTGTGCTGGTCCTTAGAGGCCCCCGCAGACCCTGGTGCCCTTCAGCAGCCCCACTGCCCTGAGGGGTCCGTGCTGGATATAAGAGCAGTGTCCCCTTCAGCACCCTGGCCTGGCCACTGCTTGGGGGGTCACGTCCCCCTTCTGTGGGTTTATGTGGCCTCCGCGTGTCACGTGCACAGGCTTGGCACCCCTTAAAGACTCTGGGTCCTGGGGCTGCGCCACCTGGCTGCTCACCTATGTAGGCCGCCTTCTCTGTGACCATGAACTTGCTGTGGTTCACCCTGCTGAACGGGATGTTGGAGTGATTTCCCACCGGCACGATGAAGACTTTCTTGGGGGCACAGAGAGGGAGCTGTCAGGAGGGGAGGAGGGGAGGAGGGCCACCTCCCCCAGCCCGGCCCGGGGAGCAGGTCCTCACCACATCCACCGAGACACCGGCCGCAGGGTTGCTGAAAGCCTGCAAGGACCGCAGGTCGGGGAACATGCTGGGGTCTGTGTGGGGCCAGCAGCTGACCAGCAGACGCACACGCACACCCCTGTTGAAGGCGGCTGTCCGCAGTGCAGTGTCCAGCACCGGCCAGTACCTGTGGGAGGGCGGGTCAGGGTCCTTGAGCCAATGGGGGCCCTGCCTGCAAGCCATGGGTCCCGGCAGGAGAGGAACCGTGCCAGGAGCTGCCCACCCGCAGACCTCCACCCCCTGGGGCCGCCAGGGTCCTGCCCAGACCCACCTGGCCGGGTGGCTGAAGCGCGTGGTGGGGAAATACTCCATCACCGAGGCGTAGATGAACTCCCTGGCGCCCCCCATCACTGCTAGCAGTGCTTCCAGGTCGCGGGTGCGGCCGTGAGGGCAGAGCGTGGGTGGAGAGGCCTGTCCAGGGCGAGAGGTCCCTGTGACCCAGCATGCACCCACCCTCCAGCATGTGGGAATGTGGAGGGAGACAAGAGGTGCTCCCTGGGGAGGTGGGGAGAGAGGGGGGAGGGTCCACACAGGGGCCTCGGGGCTGCCCTCGGGCTCGGCAGGAAAGCCTGGAAGCGGGCAGCCCACCCCCCAGCTCCAGGTTGACCTGACTTCCTGGAACTAGGCATCTGGCTGCACCAACAAAGGCTTCTGTGTCTGCTCAGGTGCTCAGGCAGGGCCCCGCCGAGGACCCCCCACCCCTGGCTCTGATGCTGGGTCTCTAAAGACCAGCCACTGGGGCAGCTGGAGGGCTGTCTGCTCCCACGCGCCCAGACGGAGGATCAGCCTGCCCCATCCCCCTTCCCTGCCTGAAGACCCACAGAACCACTTGATGAGCTGGTCCTCCCCGGCCCTCCCTGGTCCCGAGCTGAAGCCCCCCGGCCCCACCCAACAGGGTGCTTGGAGGCCCCCCTTCCCGGGCTGCCTGTCTCCCATGGATGGCATGTCCTCTCCTGGAGCTGGGTCTGTGCACACCAGGCTGCTGCTGGCCAGGGGACCGCGGCCGGGTCCTGGGCGCTGGCTCCCCAGGCCGTTGCCCTGAGGCCCTGGTGGGCACCGCAGCAAGACACGGTTCCTGGGGCTCTGGCAGGCCCCCTCAGCCCCTCTTACGGAGAAGTAGGCAGTGGTGGGCACCCCGTCAAAGTGGTCCCGGAGGGGCTGGAAGCGGTTGATGTGGGACGAGAAGTTCTGGGGCCAGGCTCTGGGAAGGACCGCCTTTGGCGCCCCCAGCACCCAGTAGGTCTGGAAGGTCTTCTCTAGGTCGAGGGCCAGGCGGCTGCAGTTATAGATGATGGCGCCCAGCTCCTTCACCTGCGGGGGGACAGGGCGGCGGCTGTGGGAGGAGGCCCCCCGGGCAGAGTGCAGCAGTGCCCCCCCCCCAGGCAGAGCGCAGCCCCCCACACCGGCAGCCTGCCCACTGCAGTGTCGCCTGCCGGAGTCACAACACACAGTGTGCTCGAGGGAAGCTATGAGGTGGGGGTGCCCAGGGCACCCTGCTTGTCTTGAACACCGTAATGCCAATGATCAAAGCGATGCATGCTTGTTACCACAAAAATAGAAAACGCATAAAAGAAAAATCATTCTTCGCGACCCCGTCCCACAATAGACACAGCTGCCTTTCCCCCCACCGTTCTTGGACTGGTTTTTAATGCACTGCTTTTCCTAAGAGGCATCGTGCTTTGCAGTCTGTGTGTTTCCCTGGATAGAGTGACTGGAACATCTTTGCATGGGGTTAAATGAGATTCCACGGGGTGAGTGCAGTAGCTGTGTGGGATTCCATAACTTCCTGACCCAGGCTCTGACTGTTGGCAGCAGGGTGACGTTATACCCATATTACACCAAGCCTGCACGGGACATCAGGCCAAGCCCCCGGGAGTGCGGGCAGTGCACGAGCTCCAGGTGGGTCTCCCTTCCCTGGGCTCTGGACTCACCTGCGTCAGGGCCCGCCAGTCCATGTTGGCACTGCCCAGGTAGATGTGCCGTCCATCCACGACCCAGAATTTGGAGTGCAAAACGCCCCCAGTGAACTTCCTCATGGGCACGAACCGCACCTGGGCACCTGGCCGGGGGGGTCAGGACCGTGTGGTGAGCTGGCTCTTGGGTACCAGCTTCAAGGCAAACCTGATTCTCCGTGGTGGGTCTGCTCATTTACCCTCAGGGCAGTCCTGCTAAGCCCATGCCATCATCGTCCCCACTTTCCAGGTGGGGCAACGGAGGCATGGACTGGCCCAGGATGCCTTGGGGCAGCCCCACTCCAGAGCCCGGGGTTATAAGAATTGCTCCCCGGCTGAGCTCCCAGCCTGAGCCCCCCCACAGGTCAAAGCAGCTGGGCTCAGGGGGGCCCCAAGCCCACCCTATGCTCTGCACCATGGAGAATGACCCTCTGGCTCCTTGGAACCAGCCCCGGGTGAAGCTGACTTCAAGCAGGCCGCCCTGGGCCCCTGTGGGCCCTGGCCTCCTGGTGAACTAGGGGGACATGGGTGGCCTTTCCAGGCCTGTCCCAGGCAGCTCTGCACTCCTTCCTTGTCCCGTGGCACCAGCAGGTCAGGTGCCATGCTTTCCCCCGGGCCCAGGGGCCCAGGCCGGACAGGTTCCTACCTCGCGCCGCCAGGACCTGCAGGTCCGTGGAGTTCTTGGCCAGTGACCGGCTGCTGGTAGCCACAGCCAGGGAAATGTTCTTGTCCAGCAGCTGCTCCAGCTTCTGCAGAAGGGCCTCCCCCTGCAAGGCCAGGCCAGCCATGAGGGGTGACCGCCTGCCAACTAGGAAGGACACAGACCTCTCCCGGGAGGCCACCCTGCCCACCCACAGCTCACAGAGAGATGTGCCCTGGCACCGGATGGGGCGGACGGCCTGTGGCCATCGAGTCGGGGTGGGGAGGGCCGGGGCATACCGGCTGGGAGGACGAGTCGTTGACCCCAATGTCGGGCCCCGTGAGGGACCAGTAGAAGGAGGCCACGTGGATGCTCTCCTGGGCGGTGTCTAGCAGCTGCAGCCAGGCCTGGGCCAGGGGCTGGGCAGACGGGCAGCCAGCTGCGGAGGGCAGGTCCTGGGGGATGCTCTCCACAAGGACAAGCCTGCAGAGAGAGACCATGGGGCCTGAGCAGAGGTGCCACCAACCTGCCTCATATCGTCTGCTCTGTGCCCACTGGCCAGGCCGGAGGGGTCGCTGCCAACAGGGGGCCGGAGCCCAGGCCAAGGGCGCATGACGGGGAGCCGACTAGACTGGACGGGGCAGGCGTGAGCCCAGCCAGCCCGCTGGGGGCGGTGACACCGGGGGGTGGGGGGAGAGCCAGGGAGAGAGCAGGGCAGGTTGAGGCCCGGGCCCCGCCCCAATCCCAGGCGGGCCCTGCTGTTCAAGAGCCATTGCTCTGAGCAGAGATTTGGGTCTGGGCTGCCTACTGGTGGGGAGACCTTTGGAGGCAGCCCAAGCTGACCCCGAGGAAGGGCTGGACCAGGAGGTGGTGGGAGCCCCCCTCGGGCTCTGCGGACTGGACCACGCGCAGGACTCCCCCCCACAGCAGGAAACGTGGGAAGGCAGGCGGCCCAGCAGCTGGGAACAGCGACGCCACCCCAGTGTTGGGAGAGCTGAGAAGCCACAAGCCTCAGCCCAGGTGGCACCCGGCTTCGCAGCCTTGGCAGAGCCCCTAGGTGGCGGCCTGTGCTTGTTGCAAAGAGCACCCCAAGTCCACCTGAACTCCACCGCCCCCCAATCCATCCGGGCCTTGGGCCAGACTTCCCGGCCAGCTGCATCTTCCAAGAGGTGGCAGAGGGCCGCGCTTATCCCGCAGGGCAGGTCCAACGGTGGAAGCTCGCGGAGGGGCAGAAGGTGTGGCCGCCCGCCCGGCAGACCTGGCAGGCTCACTCACCGGCAGGAGTCCTGCAGCTGCTGCCTGGCCTCCCCTCTCTGGGACTCCCAGGCCGGGCTGGAGCCATGGCCCCTGGGCCCGATGGGCCCTTCCCCAGGGTGCAGCTGGCCGCAGGTCGGGGGAAGGTGCACCTGCCACAGGACGTAGGCAAGAGTCACGGCGCCAAGCCACAGCATGGCCAGCGTTCCCAGCACCTGCAACTGGAGAAGGGTGTTAGCATGGGGGTCCGCAGATGGGTGGGCTGGGGTGGCCCCTCCGGTGCTGACAGAGACTGTCCCCCGCTCCCAGGGAGGGCCAGGTATGCAGGGGGGCCGGATGGGCAAGGGACAGGGGACGGTGGTGCTAAGCAGGGCCCAAGCCCACTGTGGGCGGGGGGTCAGGTGGCCTGGGGCTGTCCCTCGGGGGGCCCCCCGAGACAGGGATTGGACAGTGAGGGTAGCCCTCTGGTCTGGCTGGTTTCGTCCTTGCTGCTCTGGTGTGGGGTTCCGCGAGGCTGCAGAGCCCCTCCCTTGGGCCCCCCATTCTGCCCTGCCGGCCTCTCTGTCCTATGGGCAGTGGGCCCTGTGGAGCAGGGCCGGGCAGGGGCCACTGACGCTCTCTGCGGAGGTCTCAGCCCTGACAGGGCGACCCGGTGTCACCCGAAGCCTCGGGCCTAGCGCCTGGCTTCCCGCCACTGCTCCCTGGGCGGCATAGCCTGCAGGTGGTGACTCTGTGTGGAGCCTGAAGCTGGTGTCTGTGTCTGTGTGTCTCTGTCTCTGTCTGTGTGTCTGTGTGTCTCTGTCTCTGTGTGTGTCTCTGTGTCTCTGTGTATGTGTGTCTGTGGGTGTGTGTGTCTCTGTCCCGGCCCCCGGGCTGTTTTCCCCTCTCTCGGTCTCCCTCTCAGTGGGCATCTGGGTGTCTGAGTCTCGGTTCCTGCTTTCAGCCACACGTGTGGCAAGAGGCCCAGAGCCATTTCTGCTTTCAGCTGGGTCCTCCTTACAACCCGTAGAAAGCTGTTTCCCTTCCCAGGGCTGGGTCCCCCGCCCGGCACCAGGCAGCCCCCGCCTGGGACTCTGGCAGCACCCCTCATCCTGGCCGGGAAGGCATGGTGGGGGCTGAGCTGGGACCCTTCGCTGCTGTGCGGGGGTGCTGGGGAGCCCGGGGTACTGTGTGGGGCTCCCCATCTGCAGCAGGACGCAGCCCCCTCAGGGCAGTTACTCCCACAGAGAGCTGGAAGCCAGGCAGGTTCCCCGTAGCGGCCTCAAATGTCACCGTGAGCCAAGTGCTCCCGAGTTCAGCATGCCCCCCGGAGGGTGCAGGGAGGGGCCTGAGAAGCCAGAACAAGGCCTCAGGCAGAGCGACGGAGACCCCCCAGAGGGGAGCCAGGATGCCCCCTACCCCCAGAGGGGAGCTCAGGGCCTCACGCTGCTCCCCGTCCTCCCGGAAGAGCCACACTCAGGGTGCCACACCCCACCCCAGGGGTTCATCAGGTCTTCACAGTGTGAAGCCCGGGGCTGGGGACGGGTGAAGGGGGCACCAGGGACATCCTTGGACTGGCGGCTCCCCTCTGTGCCCCAAGTGTCCCAGGAAGAGGGCAGGTCAAAGCCCCGCAGCCCCCATCCGGGACTTGGAGCTGTCCCAGGCACCTCCCCGACCTCCGATGCCCAGAGCACATCTGCTCCTCCTCTTGGCCCCTGGGAACAGCACTGGGGCCGGGGGAGGCTGCCCCCAGGGCAGCCCTAGGCGACTGCGGAGCTGCTCCCGCACTGCAGCCCCGGCAAGCCCGTGGCCCTGGGCTGGGGCTGGCTGTGGGGAGAGCGTGGCCCACTAGCCGCCAGCTGGGACCCTGCAGGCATGAGAGGTCATGGCTGCAGGCGTGGAACTTCCTGCCCCGCGAAGCGTGGGGTGAGGCTGCCAGGCCCCGGCTGGGGCAGACGGCCCACTGTCAGCTCAATGGGAGGCCCGGAGGCCTGGTGGTCCCCGCGGCCCAGACCGGTGAAGGACCGGGTGGTCTGCAGGCCCGACGGAGGCTCTGTGATCCCCTGGGCCCGGGGTTGCTGGCAGCTGGCTTCCCTGGGGCCTTCGGCCTGGCTCTTCCACCCAGCCCCCGGCTCCCTGGACTCACCTCTGGGGGCCCTGCCTTGGCGTGCATCTCGCTCCAGACACAGACTGCAGGCACTCGGCTCTCTGTGCGGGCAGCAGGCTCCGGTGGCTGCCTCCACCCCCAGCCCACCTGCATCCTGTCTGCAGCCTGCTTTTTCCCCTTCTGGCCACTTCCTCTTCGTCCTGAGTACCTCCTTCTGCACCCCGGACAGACAGACATCTGGAGCTGGGTGGGCCAGCCAGAGGGTGGGGCTGGGAACTTTCACCTCCAGAGAAAATCTCTCTCCTTGGCCCCATCTCCCAAGGTGGAGGCATTCTCTAGCCACAGGCCTGGGCGTTGGTCGGGCTCAGTGTAAGCCACAGAGAACCAAGGAGCCTTGGCTTGAACAGGATTGGTCATTTCTCTCTCACACTAACCAGGTTCAGGGGCTGGTGGCCTAGAGACTGTATTTGCTTCACAGCTGTGGGGAGCCAGGTCCCTCCAGGCCCCTCCTCAGGAATCCTAGCTCCCAATCCCTAGGGTTGACTAGCAGCCTCGTGGCCCCACAATGGCTGCTGGAGTTCAACCATCAACTCTGTGTTCCCAGGAGCATAGTTCTGGCTTCCCTTAGTCTGTTCAGGCTGCTATAACAAAACACATGGACTGGGCGCCTTGTAAATAGCAGACATTTGCTCCTCACAGCTCTGGGGGCTGGGAGTGCCAGGTCAAGGCGCCGGCAGGTTGGGTCCTGGTTCTCTCCTCGCTGTGTCCTCCCAAGAGAGAAGGGCTGGGGGCTCTCCGGGGGCTCTTTCATAAGGCACTAATCCCATCACAAGGGCTCCACCTGTCTGACCTGGCCACCTCCTGGAGGTCCACCTCCCCTCCCCACGGAGTCTCTGCTCCTCTTCCCTGCTACCTGGGCGCTGGGAGTGAGGCAGAGACGGCTCATCCTGAAGGAATGCCATCCGGGGGCGGCAGGGACCACAGGTCCTCCTGACTCTCAGCTCCCCCACGAGTGAGTGACACTACATCTGACTGTTAGAAAAATGTGCTTCCGGCCTTGCTCCCAGCAAGCACCCAGGGCTAATGCTCGGGCGCCTTGCAGATTCCTGGTTCCTTGTCAGCCTGCGCCTGGGGGGCGCAGACCACTGGTTTCCTGCGTTATTCCCTCTGCATTTGCCTGGCCAACAGCCTTCGGTAAGAAGTTTCCAACTCAGCCGAAACATTACAAGGGCTGAATAGTGTTCTTTCTTTTCTTGCTTTTTAATTTTATTATCCACCCTCCCCTGTTTTATTGCGATGTAACTGACATATAACATATTGGTTTCCAGGGTACAACATAATGATCGAGACTTGTATATACTGCAAAATGACCACCATGAGGGGTTCAGTTAACACCCGTCACCTCACAGGATCAGGGTTTTTCCTTGTGATATTTGTCTTTCTCTCACTCAGCTCACGTCACAGTGTGCCCTCCAGGTCCACCCACGTGGCAGGATTTCCTTCTTTTTACAGGTGAGTAGTATTCAACCGTGTGAGTGAATACACACCACACCTTCTTCATCCGTCTGTCTGCTGACGGACACGTGCGTCGGGGCCGTGTCTCAGCTCTCGTGGATCACGCTGCAGTGGACAGGGGGGTGCACGTCCTGCTCGGGGACCACAGCAAGCGTTTCTTCCCTGTTTTGGGTCTGTACTTACATCTCTTCTCTCTTCCACAGAAACTTTTGGTTCCTAACATTAATATAATTACTTATTAGCTTTGGCTTATAACAGGTTCAACACAATTTCCAAGTAACAACTCTAATATCACTACAGACAATACTACCACTAACTGAAATTTGAGACTTCTCTGCAAGGGTTTTCTCACTATTATAACTGACCAAGGATGTAAAAATCAAGCACCATGTTCTAAAGTCAGTCTTTTAAAACCAAAGCTGGCGGCATCACAATTCTGGACTTCCGGCTCTATTACAAAGCTGTCATCATCAAGACAGTATGGTACTGGCACAAAAACAGACACATAGATCAATGGAACAGAATAGAGAGCCCAGAAATGGACCCTCAACTCTATGGTCAACTCATCTTCTACAAATCAGGAATGAATGTCCAATGGAAAAAAGTCTCTTCAATAAGTGGTGTTTGGAAAACTGGACAGCCACATGCAGAAGAATGAAACTGGGCCATTCTCTTACGCCATACACAAAGATAAACTCAAAATGGATGAAAGACCTCAATGTGAGACAGGAGTCCATCAAAAGCAGCAATCTCTTCGACATCAGCCGCAACAACTTCTTGCTCGACACGTCTCCAAAGGCAAGGGAAGAAAAAGCAAAAATGAACTATTGGGACTTCATCAAGATAAAAAGCTTCTGCACAGCAAAGGAAACAGTCAACCAAACAAAGAGGCAACCCACAGAATAGGAGAAGATATTTGGAAATGACACTACAGACAAAGGGTTGGTTTCCAAGATCTATAAAGAACTTCTCAAACTCAACACACAAAGAACAAAGAATCCAGTCAAGAAATGGGCAGAAGACAGATACTTCTCCAAAGAAGACATAGAAACAGCTAACAGATGCATGAGAAAATGTTCATCATCATTAGCCATCAGGGAAATTCAAATCAAAACCACACTGAGATACCACCTCACACCAGTCAGAATGGCTAAAATTAGCAAGTCAGGAAATGACAGATGTTGGCGGGGATGCGGAGAAAGGGGAAGCCTCCTACACTGCTGGTGGGAATGCAAGCTGGTGCAGCCACTCTGGAAAACAGTATGGAGGGTCCTCAAAAAGTTGAAAATAGAGCTACCCTACGACCCAGCAATTGCGCTACTGGGTATTTACCCCGAAGATACAGATGTAGTGAAAAGAAGGGGCACCTGCACCCCAATGTAGGGTATTATGCTAAGCAAAATAAGTCAGAGAAAGACAATTATCATATGATCTCACTCATATGTGGAATTTAAGAAATAAAACAGATGAACATAGGGGAAGGGAGGGAAAAATAAGATAAGATGAAATCAGAGTGGGAAGCAAACCATAAGAGACTCTTAATCATAGAAAACAAACTGAGGGTTGCTGGAGGGAGGTGGGGGGATGGGGTAACCGGGTGATGGGCATTAAGGAGGGCATGTGATGTAATGAGCACTGGGTGTTATACGCAACGGATGAATCACTAAATTCTACCCCTGAAACTAACAATACACCCTATGTTAACTAACTTGAATTTAAATAAAATTTTCAAAGAAGAAAAAAAAGAAAGTCAGTGTTCTTCCACAGGTAAGCATCTACCTGGAACAGGTTATTGGGGCACGAGACCTGTTTTCCTGGTGGATAGTTAGGAGTCCTCTCGTGCTGTTCTGCTGACTCTGTGTTTATCAAGTCTCCAGATGTGTGTGGGTCTTCCTTTTCTCTTCCACTGATGTGCTCACCCCGGTGCCCATGCGGCCCTGCCCCATCCCCGTGGTGCCCTGCGAAGGCTCCGGGACGGGTAGACCAGTCCCTCCACTTCACTAGGACCACCACATGCTTGGTACACATCCATCGAGAGAACCCTATATTTTTCTCCTTGAATCTGTTAATGAAGTAAATCAGGGATTTTCTCAAGTTAAATTAACCTTGGGGTCCTGGGATAGCCCCATAAGAACCGTGACCTACATTGCGTGTGGTTGGAGTGGCCTCAGCAGTAAGGGATTTCCAATTGTACATGTGTGCCCACAACAACTGTTGGTGACACATCGTGTTTCTCTTCATGCTTCACCTGGTCTTTGTATTTAAATATATTAGAGTCCTAGGGGCGCCTGGGTGGCTCAGTCGGTTAAGCCTCCAACTCTTGATTTCTGCTCAGGTCATGATCTCACAGTCGCGAGATCCAGCCCACACTGGGCTCCACACTGGACGTGGAGCCATCTCAAGATTTTCTCTCTCTCCCTCTGCCCCTACCTCACCACTTGAGCTCTCTTTCCCTCAAAAAAAAAAAAAAAATTATATTAGAGTCCTAGAATGAATTGGGTATGCACCCTTTTATTCCTATGTTTTGAACTTTGTAAAACAGGCTAAAATGCTCTTTTTTAATTTTGGTGGAGCACGGAAATCTTAGATCGTTTACATCTTTGTGGGAAGATTGTAAATTATGAATTCAATTTCTTTAATGGTTATAGGACCATTCAGGCTCTCTGTTTCTCTGAGAGCCAACTTTGGCAAATCCTATTTTTCTAGGAATGTGTCCTTTTGTTTAACATTGCAAGCTGTATTGACAAAGGTTCTTCATAATGCTTGCCTTCCTAGCCGTTCACTCAGCCGTGTCCACAGGAATGACCCCTGTGCGTTCCTCAGACTGGCTTTATGCCTCTTATCTTTCTTCCGCCCCCGCTGGAGATCTTGCCAGAATTTTGGCGATTTTATTTTTTTCCAAGAAATCAACTTTTATATTTTTTGTTTTCTCTCTATTACGGTTTCATTTTCAATTTGTTCCCGTTTTTCACCTTTATTACATCCATTCTTCTACTTCCTGTCATATGCTTCTGTGGCTATTTTTCTGCCTTAAGCTGCATGTTTGGCTCTAATTTCCAGCTATTCCTTGCTGCTACAAAGTGCCTAAGGGATCCGTTTTCTGCAAATCTCTGCTTCCACTGTGCCCCATGATCTCCTATGTGACTTGGTCAGTATTTACTTCTGAGTATTTTACATTTTTTACTGTTTTTTCTTTTACGTGTGAATGATCTGGAAATCTGGCTTAGGGGCACCCGGCTGGCTCGGTTGATGGAGCATATGACTCTTGATCTCAGGGTCGTTTGTTCAAGCCCCATGTTGGGTGTAGAGATTACTTAAAAATAAAATCTTTAAAAAAAAAAGAAATTTGGCTTAAGATTTCCAAGTGTATGTGAAGCTTCTTTCTTCATCACTGATTCCTAGTTCAATCAACTTTGGGTTAGAAAGCAAGGCCCGCGCGGCACTACGTCTTTAACGTTGGTCAAGAACAGGCCTCGTGTGCACATGTGTGCTCAGAATCTGTAAATGTGTTTGAAAAGAATGCGCAGCCACCGCTGGGGAAGGTCTGGGGTCTAGATCCATCTTTAAATCCAGCTCACGGATGTGCTTTCGAATCTCACACATCACTGATTAATGTTTTGTGTCCTCGGCGCAGGAATGACTGGGAGAGCTGTGCCGGCCTGTGGATTCCCACGCACACTCCTGCTCCCCGCGGTGGAGTCTGCACTCCTGGTGTCTCTGTCCCCTCCTCTGGCTGAACCACCTGTCACCGCGCTCTCACCTTCCCTCGTAACAGCTTCTGTCTTAAAATCTATGTTGTCCGATTTTAATTTAGTTTAAATTTGTGTGGCTTTTTAAAAATATCCTTCTACCTTAGGTTGATGTGCCTTCTTGTATTTCAGATCTGTGTCTAGGAAGTAACAGAGCTGGAATTTAATTTTTTATTTTTTTAAGATTTTTATTTATTTATTTGACAGAGACAGAGAGGGAACACAAGCAGGGGGAGTGGGAGAGGGAGCAGCAGGCTTCCCGCCGAGCAGGGAGCCCAATGCGGGGCTCAATCCCAGGACCCTGGGACCATGACCTGAGCCGAAGGCAGGCGCTGAACGACTGAGCCTCCCAGGTGCCCCCAGAACTGGAATTTCAAACATCATCTAACCTGACCATCTTTACTTGTTCCAGCTGGGTTTAGTCTATTTACATTTATTGTGATTACCACTACATTTCATTTTCCATTCCTTATATTGTGTATTTGGCCCACATCATACAGTTCTTTGTGTCGCTTCTTGCTCTTCTGGGTCAACTGATTTTTCTTCTGTTTTCTGGTCCTGATCTAACTGTATCCTCTCAGTGAAGGACATTCCAGGGCCCACCCACACCACTCTTACCATTTCTGAGAGTGGAGAGGATCATTCCTCCCGCTGTCTGTGGTCCATGTGATGGCCCCAGGGCAGGTTCTGACCCGTGCAGCGCAAGTGGAGGTTACCACGTCTGGTAAAGGGAGCTCCATCACTTCCCCTGCCGTGTCCTGGGCTCTGATGGTGCAGCCAGGATCGGGGCTGGGGCACCAGCTTCCCACCTGAAGGGCAGTTTCCCCAAAAGGCCACTCAGACCCACTGCATGTTCTACTTCCACAATATTCTTTCGTTGTGTTGATGCAGACATTCGTGTCCCCACATTGTCACTAGCTTGGTTTTGGATTTTCACCTTGCATACATAAGGAACAGCTCTCTTCCTGAGTGTAGTGCAAGGACCTTCGAGTACTTTATCTCCGATGATCTCCAGTGTGTGTTGTCTCTCAAGTTTGTCCTGTCCTGTAATACTATTATTATTATTTTAAGCCCCATACATTATACATCTTATCATCATTTTTTCCAGTCAGGGTGTGTGAGAATGATCTGCTCACCTTTCCTTCTCTCATTTCAGACCCGCGCACTATTCCTCCTCCTGAAATATATCCTTTACAACTGACCGGAATAGGAATTCAGCTGGATATAAAATTCTCAGTCGCCAGTTATTTTCCTTGAGTGGGAATGTGTTGGTGGACACTCAGTCCTTAGTAACGTGAAAATGTCTCTAATTTTCCTTCATTATTGAAGGATAGCTTTCCAGGCACAGAATTCTTTTTTTTTTTTCAAAGATTTTATTTATTTATTTGACAGAGACACAGCGAGAGCAGGAACACAAGCAGGGGGAGTGGGAGAGGGAGAAGCAGGCTTCCCGCTGAGGAGGGAGTCTGACGCGGGGCTCGATCCCAGGACCCTGGGATCATGACCTGAGCCGAAGGCAGACGCTTAACCGACTAAGACACCCAGATGCCCCTCCAAGCACGGAATTCTTGATAGACAGTTATTTACCCTGGAATCCAAAGTCCTTAGGGTTCTGTTATTGATGAGAAAACTGCCATCATTCCTGTGTAAGGGGTTTCTTTACTCTGTGGTTGTTTTTAAAACATTCTCCTTGTCTGTGGTGTTCTTCAGTGTTACTAGGGTGTAGCTAGGTGGTTTCCTTTTTTTTTTTTTTTTTAAGTTTATTTATTTAAGTCATCTCTACACCCAATGCAGGGCTCGAACTCATGACCCCGAGATCAAGAGTCGCACGCTGTATGGACTGAGCCAGCCGGGCACCACCAACAGGTTCCTTTTCTGATCCCGTGTGGCACACACCGCATGTGCTTCCCGTGCCTACGGAGCATGTTTGCCGGCTTGCCGGGCCTCCCGCAGCCCAGAGCTGCGCCTCGGCGGCTCACGCAGCAGGCATTTACTGTCCTGGCCCTGGAGGCTGGAAGGGCCGGTCCCCCCGGGCTCGTTGTTCCTTCTTTTTAGAACTTAGAAGGATGTGGGGGCAAGGCTTCTGAGTTAGACTGAGGAAAGAAGGAGCTGACACCGAGTCCCGAGACCCAGAAGGTCCCCTTTATGATGAGGCCGCCCCCCAGGTGACCCCTGATGCTCCCACATCTTCAGGGGTGCAGTCTGACTCCCTGTTTTAATCGTGTCCCTGCGGGTGAGGTCTGGCAGGACCCCACACGGATGGAAAAGGTTTACGGTTTATTATCCTCACAGCCCGCACGGGACCCCAGGGCCACGCGGGGCTTGGGCACAGGTGGAGGGGGCAGCTGGGAGCACTGCTTGCCTGCGCTTTCTGCGGGAAGGAGAGCGGGGCCAGGGAGCAGCCTTAGGCTACACACACCCCTGGGGAGTCGGTGAGCCTGTGCTCCCCGCGGTGTGAATGCGGAGCTCACAACTCTCTCAGGTGTCCATCGTGAGGGTCAGCTTGCTTGGGGCTGATTGTAATAAAACATCAGTTTATAGAAATGACAAGAATGGCTAATTCGCTGCAGCCCCCTAGTCCGGGGTGGCCTCTCCGCAAGTCTGTGGGCCGCTCACCAGGCTGCCCCCATGAGCTCGTCATCCGCTTCACCCCACGTCTACCCACGGGCCCCCTTCACACAACAGAGTTTGTTTCCTTTCGTTTTTTACCCAAAGCGGAGGTGGACACAATAGGTTTCTGCAAGTTCATTCGCCCGCAAGTGGGTTGTCCACCTTTGGGCGCTGATGGGGAGAGTGGTCCTCAATCACTCCCGGCATCGGGCAGATCCCCCAGTGTCGGGCAGGCCCCCAGTGTCGGGCAGGCCCTCCCAGCTGGGGCAGAACCCCCAGCATCATGCAGATCCCAGAGAGTTGGGCAGGCCCCCGAACATCGGGTGAATCCCCAGCTAGGGCAGAACCCCCAGCATCACGCAGATCCCCCAGTGTTGGGCAGGCCCCCAGCATCGGGTGAACCCCCCAGCTAGGGCAGAACTCCGAGCATCACGCAGATACCCCAGTGTTGGGCAGGCCCCCCAGTGTTGGGCAGGCCCCCAGCATTGATTGGATGAACCCCCCAGCATCGCGCAGATCCCCCCAGCACTGGGCAGGCCCCCCGTGTCGGGCAGGCCCCCCAACATCGGGTGAACCCCCAGCTGGGGCAGAATCCCCAGCATCACACAGATCCTCCAGTGTCCGGCAGGCCCCCCAGCATCAGGTGAACCTCCAGCATCACGCAGATCCCCCAGCGTTGGGCAGGCCCCCCAATGTCGGGCAGCCCCTCAGCATTGGGCGAACCCCCAGCCGAGGCAGAACCCCCAGCATCAGGCAGACCAGGGCCTAACCGGGCCTCACGGAGCCGCAGCCGTGGCCCCAGTCCAGCCGAGGCGTGCTCCGTGGAGTCTGGCAAAGCATTTGTGTGTGTTTTCATCATCCTTTATCCATGTCTTGCTCTTCGAAGTCCTGAATCCACCATGTGGCTGGAAACAAACTCCCTCACCTTCCCCTCCCTGGCCGGCCACCCTGGCATCTAACGGGATGCTGGGCTTTAGAGCCTGCTGCTAAGTGCTCTCTCCACCCTCTGAACAAAAGGAACTGCTTCTAACAATTGCCTCGGGGATTCTGTTCATTTACCTCTGGGGTGCCAGCCCCCCTTTTCTGGGGGATGCTCCCCAGTCACTGTCATGGTCTCCTTCTCAGGGGCTACTGAGATGTGTCGCCCATTTACCGGTTTCTTCACTCGGTGGGCTTGCACACCCTCCTTCTCCAAGCTCAGCTCCCATCCTTCCCGGATTCTTGCGTCCCGGCTGGGAGAGCAGGAAAGCTCCAGGCTTCACCACCTGAGAATGTCTCTCTCCCTCACTCTGGAATGATGGTTTAGCTGGGTGACAATTCTCTTCCGGTCACTGAAGGTCCCGACCTTGGACGCGGCTCCCCGTGGAGGAACGGGCGTCCGTCCACCTGCTGTCCCTCTGAAGCCTGCTTCTCTTACCTCCCTGTTTGCTTTCAAGGTTTTCTCTCTGTCTTGGGTCTTCTGGGTTTCAGCGTGGCATGTCCAGGTGAGGATGGTTCTCATCCACCCACCTTGGGGCTTGGAGCTCTTAAAGTGGAGGATTTATGCCTGTGATCATTTCTAGAACATTCTCAGCCGTTATCTCTTTGGCTATGGCCTCTGCCTACTTTCTGTATCCTCACATTGTGAAACTCAGGCGAAGCGTGCGCTGAGCTTCTACGCCCTGCGGCCTGCCCCTCCGAGTCTCCTTCCCCTGCTGCAGGTCTCCACCTCAACCTTTGCATCCTGCTGACGTCCAGGCACCTCAGGTGCATCTTTAGCTCTGTTTTCTAGCTGCTCAGCATTCTCTGAGGTTTCCATTTCTGACCGCAGGTTTTTTTCTCCCACCCAGAGCCTGGGAAAGAGAGGAGCTTCCCTGCTCTGTCCCGGGGCCCTGGGGAGGGCTCTCTTACTCCTCTCCCTGTATATACAGCCTTGAGGACACTCAGCTCTGAGCAGGATTCTTAATTTCACCTCTGCTTTTGCTGGGCACGAGTCCTCTGTCCTGAGTGCATGTGGACAGACATCTCGAGAGCTCGGCCATGAGGGCTATTTCTGGGCCCGTAGCTGCCCCCAGAGGTGCTAGAACGCAGCCCCTTGGCCATTCCAGCTTCCAGTTCCCCCTCGACTCCTGGTAGGTGGGGACTTCCCTTTCTTTCTTAAAATCTCACCTTTGCGTCTGGTTTCAATTTTACCTGTAGCTAACAATTCTAGATGTTCCAGTTGGCAGAGATGAAGCAGAAGTGCGAGGGCCTGAGAAGACAGAATGTGTTTTGGCAGATCCACCAAGCCAGGAGGAAAACACCGAAGTTCAGGTCTGCCAAAGTCTCTAGGACTCGAGAGCCCCAGGTGCTGAAGAGAAAGAGGCGCAGAGCGGAGAGCTGGCCTCTCTCCTGAGGCATTTGCTGACTTGTATTCTGTGCAGGGACAAGAGGCTGAGCCTGGAAAGTTGAACAAAGCTCAATAATATTCGGTTCTGGGGACCCAAGATTGAGTTCAGTCTCTCCTTCAAAGGAGGAGAGTGCTGGTAAGCTGGTCTGACTCACAGGCGGGACTCCTGCTGACTCCTGGAGAGCGGAGCCCTAGAAAGGCAGGCCGACAAGACGTAAGAAGTAGAACAAGCCTTATCGCGTCCAAAGCTCAGTCCCTGACTGCACTGAAGGGATCCGTCCCCACTCTGTGGGCGATCCTCTCTGATGAAACATGACTTCATCCACAGGGTCTCTCTTTTCCCCATTCATGGTGTCTGTCACTTTAAATCAAGAGTCACCCGACATCAAAACACTGAACCAAGAGTAGAAGCCGGGGTCCAGGTAGCAGGGCTCTCAAACAAGCTTTGCAATTGCTGTGATTACCATGTTCAGAACAACAAATGACAAGATGGAAATTTTCACTTAGAGAAATGAAATATATATTTTTTAAATCAAAGAAATTCTAGAACTAAAAATAAAATAACCAAAGTAAAAAGCGCAACGTATGGGTCCACAGCCAACTGGACAGAACTGAAGGAAGACTGGTGAGGTGTAATGTAGGTCAGTAGAGAATAAAAGATGGAACGCAAGGAGAAAATTGCATAGAAAACACAGGAAATAGCATCTGAGACGCATAGGACGTACACGAAGGTTTAACACACGTATAAGCTGAGTCCAAGCAAGGTTAGTTGGGAATGGGGCAGAATTGTGTCTGAAGAGAAAATGGATAAGGCGTTCCCCAAACCAGTGAAAGCCAGACAGCACCACTGGAGGAAGGGCCACAAACCACAACACAGATGAGTGCAAAGATGCCCCTAGTTGTAGGAAAATCACAGGAAAACTAAAAACAAAAAGAAAGTCTAAAACAGCCAGGAAAAAGGACACCATCTAGGAAGGCAACAATAATACATTTGACTTCTCCACGTAAGCAATGAAATCCAGAAGACAATGGACGATATGTTTTAAGTGCCACAAAAAAGTTACTGCCAACTTAGAATACTGTATCAATATACCAGGTGAAAGGAAAAGGCAAAATAAAAACATTTCCAAAGGCCCCCTACTCAAGAAATTGAGAGATTTTGTCACAGCAAACTGATACCAAAAACACACTCAGTGACGGTCTATTGGAAAATGATCCCATGTGGAAACGTGGAAATGCAGGAGTGAGAGAGGAGTACCAGAGATGAAATATGTCAACACACTTAGGACATGTTGACTGTAGAAATTAATAGTTCATTGTAGGGTTTACACTATTTGCAGAATTAAAATGCCTGATCATGGTAGCACTAAGGTGGGAGAGGCAGACAGATTTAAAGTGTTGGAAGGTCTTTACAGTGCCCAAAAAGTGGTAAAAGTGCAAGCTTACATTAGGCCCTAATAAGTGAAAGATAAGTTTTGTAATTGAATTTTATAATTGTGAATTATTTAGTAATTGCCAGAAAGTAGTAAAAAGAACAATTTACATTGGACCCTAATAAGTGAAGGATGAATTTTATAATTGTTTGGGTGCCCACTAAGAGTATAATGAAAGAGAGCATTACTAACAAGCAAATGGGGAAACATGGAATAATAATAATAATAATAATAATAATAATAATACTTGATTAATCCTAAGAAAAATAGAACAAATAACAGACATGATAAGCAGATTCAAAGTTGAATACATTGATAATTGCAATAAATGTACTAAAAATACTCCAATCACAAAACACATATTGTCAGACCGAATTTTATAAAACAAAATCTACAAAGCTTAAGTAAAAGGATGAAAAGGATGTTATGATAACGTTAACCAGAAAAAAGCTAACATAGCTATACTAATATCATACAAAGTAGACTTTAAGATAAGAAAAATAACTAGCAATAAAGAAGACTTCATGATGACAAAAGGGCCCATCAACCAGGAATATAACAATTCTAAATTGTATGCACCTAATAACATAACTTCAAAATATATAAAGAAAAACTGATGGCACTGTGAGGAGAAATAGATAAATCCATAACCAGTGGCAGATTATTACTCAGCCCTTGCAGCAAGTGGTAGAACAAGCAAACAAAACATTAATGGATATATTTGAAAACCTGAACACAATAAAGCTGATCAAATTGACAAGAGAGAATATCTCTCAAAAAAATGGAAGTACATATTCTTTTCAAGGGCACATGAAGCATTTATTACAGTTGTCCACATTCTGGGTGAAAAAGCATACTCTATACTTTTCCAATGATTGAAATAATTTGAAGTATATATTCTGACTGCAGTGGAAATAGGCTAGGAATCAATTACCAAAGAATAACTGGAAAATCCTCAGATGTTTGGTAATTTAGCAACACATATCTAAACTCATGGGCCAAGGAAGAAATAATAATGAGTACTAAAGTTTTTTTCACCCAAATGATAATGAAAATACAATGTATCAAACTTTATGAGATCAGCTAAAGTTATATTTAGAAGGAAATTTGTAGCCTTAAATCCACAGATCAGAAAGAAGGAAAGCTGAAATTTAATCTCACAAAATAAAGGAAGGAAAGAAGAACGGAAGAAAGAAATCTTAAAACAGGGAAGAGGGGGGGAAAAACTAACAAATAAACATAAAATGAAGAAGAGCAAATTTAGTGAAACAGAAAGCAAACGTATCATAGAGAAAATCAACAAAACTAAACAGTTGGTTCTATGGAAAGAATAATAAAATTGGTAGACCCCAGCAAGACTGAGCAAGAGAAAGGGAAGGTATGAATCACCACTACTTAGGATGAAAATGAGAACACAGAAACAGGTCCTACAGACACCAAAAAGAAAGCAAGAGAATATTATGAACGATTTTATGTTAATACATTCATTTTCCATTCCTTATTACTGTTTTGAATTCTTATTGCAGTACGATGTACACATGTTGGAGGGTGCAGATTTTCAGGTGTATAGAGCTGATGTGGGGAATAGAGTTGGTGTGGGGAACAGAGCTGAGGAGGGGAACAGAGCTGGTTGGGGGGAACAGAGCTGGCGTGGGGAACAGACCTGGCATGGGGAACAGACCTGGAGTGGGGAACAGAGCTGGTGGGGGGAACAGAGCTGACTTGGGGAACAGAGCTGTTGTGGGGAACAGAGCTGGCATGGGGAACAGACCTGGAGTGGGGAACAGAACTGAGGAGTGGAACAGAGCTGGTGTGGGGAACAGAGCTGATTTGGGGAACAGAGTTGTTGTGGGGAACAGAGCTGAGGAGAAGAACAGACCTGGTGTGGGGAACAGAACTGGCGTGGGGAAGAGAGCTGGCGTGGGGAACAGAGCTGAACTGGGGAACAGGGCTGGACTGGGGAACAGAGCTGGCGTGGGGAACAGAGCTGGTGTGGGGAACAGCTGGCATGGGGAACAGAGCTGAACTGGGGAACAGAGCTGGCGTGGAGAACAGAGCTGGCAGTGGGGAACAGAGCTAGTGGGGGGAACAGAGCTGCATTGGGGAACAGAGCTGGCACGGGGAACAGAGCTGGTGTGGGGAATAGACCTGTAGTAGAGAACAGAGATGAGGAGGGGAACAGAGCTGGCGTGGGGAACAGAGCTGGCGTGGGGAGCAGAGCTGGTGGGGGGAACAGAGCTGCATTGGGGAACAGAGCTGGCGTGCGGAATAGACCTGTAGTAGAGAACAGAGCTGAGGAGGGGAACAGAGCTGGCATGGAGAACAGAGCTGGAGATGGGAAGAGAGCTGGAATGGGGAACAGAGCTGGCGTGGAAAACAGAGCTGGCGATGGGAACAGAGCTGGATTGGGGAACAGAGCTGGCGTGGGGAACAGAGTTGGCATGGGGAACCGAGCTGGATTGGGGAACAGAGCTGGCGTTGGGAACAGAGTTGGCCTGGGGAACAGAGCTGGATTGGGGAACAGAGCAGATATTAGGGACTCCTGTGCTGTGGTCAAGAGGCCTGGAGAACAGGTTCTGTGGCCACTCGCCTTGTGGGCTGATAGTAGGCTGAACACTTTCCCCAGCCCACTCGTCCAGCTCCTCTGGGTCCTCCCTGCAGCTGGAGTTGGGGGATGTGACCCCACCCCCCGCCAGGGTCTGAAGACTGGAGGCTCTAGGCTCTCAGTGGTGTGACGTCACCACAGCCCAAGGCGTCAAGTCGATATGCTCCAAAGCCACGAACAGTGGGAAGGAATCGGAAGGAGCTGTGGCTCGGCAACTGGTGCCCGTGCCCCTCGGCTGGTACATGTCCGCAGCATGGCCTACCTGAGGGTGCTTCTGGTTGTCCTGTCCTTGAAAGGCTGGAATAAAATAACTTCTCTTTTGAGGAACAAACGTCTGAATTTCCCTGCGGTTTTCTCGCCTACACCACCCCCTGGTGGCAAGGTCTGGGCATTGCAGCATGCCTGGTCTGGGGGACAAATGGGATTTCCTAGCCAATGAAGGGAGACCCCGCAGGCCAAGCATCCCCACCCCAGACACCAACGGTGGAGAAAGGAGGTCAAGGTAACAGACGCCGGGATCTTGCCATGTGCTAGAATGATTTATTAGAACAAATTCCATGACAACTCATAGAAAATAACCGTTTTCTGAAAGACATCCATGAGACCACCTGAGGACAAACATACAGAAGTACCTCCAAGAAGCCAGACAAATAAGTTACCGATCCCAAGTCGAAGGCTGGAAGGGGGAGGAACAGGAATTTGTGAATAAAAAAACGTGTACAGCAATCACTGAGGGTGGGTGTGGATGAGAATGGCCACTGTTTGTTTCCAGGGGACAGGCTGTGGGCAACTGTGTGGGGCATGCAGGAGGCCGGAGGGGGCCCAGTGCCGCCTCCGTGTGGACACAGCAGGCTCGAGGGGCGGGGTCCCGGCAGGGAGCCCACCACCACTCACACACATACGTAAACATCACGGGGGGGGGGGGGACACAGGACCCATGCACGCGACTCCACGTCAGCTAAATGTAAACACAGAGACACACATCACCCGTGGCGGCCCGGACTCACACCCACTGGCCCCGGGCCCCATCCCGCAATCGCCACTCACACAGGTACCAGGCATGGTGCAGAGCGACCTGCCCCCACCTGCCACAGCCCATGGGCTCTTTGGCTTAGAGGCTCCAGAAACAGCCCCCCTGCCCTGGGGGGGGGGTGCTCTGCCCACCCGGCGTGTTCCCAGCTGAAAGAACCCTGAGAAGGCAAGACTGTCCCTGGGGGCCTCTCCCTGCCCCCCACCCCCCACGGGACCAGGAGCCCAGCACCCTGCAGGGCTCCGAGCTGGCTGCAGACACCCCAGGAATGCCCACAGCATCAGGCAGGACGGGGGTGAGGGCTGGGGGAGCAGGTACAGCCCAGGGAGCTTCTGGAAGCCTGGTTTCCCGCCATCTCGGTCTAGTGCCCCCCTCCCTCCCCCAGCACCCAGCCCAGGACCGCAGGAAGCCAAGTGCGGGAGCCCGGCCTCCAAGGCTGGGCGGAGCTGCCCCACGCTGTGGAAACGCGCCTGGGCGAGCCGTGAGCCTGGGTGCACGTGTCTGGCATGGGCGTGCCTGCGTGCTCAGCCTGCACGGCAGCAGCCCGCACACTCAGTGGGCTTGGCAGTTGCATTGGCACCAAAGGCTTGAAGTGGTGGGGTTCCCGCCCCAAATGTCTCCACAGGCCACATCCCCGCCCCAGGCCCCCCGACCCCGGGGCAGCAGGGAGCCGCCCGGTGCTCGGCAGAGCTGGCTGCAAGTGCGCTGGCCGAGGGCACCCTGCCCTCGAGTCCTGGGGCTTCAGCAGCGCCCCCGGCTCCGTGTTTGGCACTGAATGACCGCCCCCACCCCCGGCCCAGCCCCTCCTCCTCCACCTGGCCCCGGCCAGCACACAGGAACAGGACACGTAAGCCCATGGGAGCCCTCAGCAGAACAGCCGCCCCCAACACAAAAGGCGGGGTGAGGGCCTTCCAGACCCGGGGGCTGCTGCAGTGGCCCAAACCACTCTTTCCTTAAAAGCTAAAGACAGAAATAACAGCAGTGGGGAGGAGGCGGGGAACACACCTGTGATGCTGGCCCTTGGCGGAGGCCGCAGCAGGAACTAGGCCAGGAGGCCAGCAGGGGTGGTCACAGGGGCTGGACTGTCCAGCTGGGGCGCCGGCTGGGAGCTAGGGAGGGGATGTGGGCACAGAGGCCCCTGCCCACAGGGTTATGGCACGCGTGGGGGTCTGTGGCGAACCGTCCGCAGCCGGGAAGGGCCGTGGCGGCAGACAAGGGGTGCCGGAGGTGCTGGACCCAGGGCACGCGGAGGCCGCCCCGGCCCCAGCCGCCTAGATCAGGAACCTCTCAGCATCGGGGAGGAAGTCAGGCAGGAAGGCAGGGTCCGGGAGGCCCGGGGACCCGCAGTTCGCCCGCTGTGGGAAGCTCCTCAGAGGCAGGGCCGAGGGGGGCGAGGATGGGCTCTGGGCGGCCGGCCGGCCTTTCCCCAGCTGGGCCGAGCCCGCAGAGCCCCGGTTCCCGGTCAGCAGGTCCAGGTTCCCGCTGGGGTCCACGATGGCGTTGATGACTGCGGGGGCGGGGAGGGTCAGGCCAGCCGGTGGGTCCTGCCCTGCCTCCCGGCCCACCCTGGGGTCCCTCTGCTGGTGCCTCGGGCAGCACCAGGGGCCACACCCACCTTCTAGCTGCTTCTGCACGCGCCTCAGTTCTTTCAGGATGGAGCTGATCTCCTGGAAGCAGGCGGGAGGGGGCAGATGGAGTGGGGCGGCCAAGGGGGTCACGCCCCACTCCCTGCAGCCCGGCGGCTGGGTGCAGCCCGGCCCTCACCTTGTTGGATGTCTTCAGGATGGGCACCTCGTTCTCCGAGTTGATTCTGGCTTCCACCTCCTCCCAGGCACGCCCTGTGTTCTGAAAGAGGATCCTGCCGCCGAGGGAGGAGGCAGAGGACAGCGATGATGGAGTCCAGACCAGACACACGCGTGTGCCCAGACCCCCCCACCCCCGCCTGGGCCCAAAGGGAAACACAGGCCCAGTGCAGGGATGGGGCTGGCTGGAGCCAGAGTCCCAGCCTCTGGGCCTGACGTGCGAACGGCTGGGGTGGAGGCTGGGGTCATCCTGGGGCTCTGGTTCCTGGGAGCCGGGCATGCGTGTGTGCACGGGCACCCCCAGGGTGGTGTCCCCCCCCGACCGCTGCAGGTCCTGGCTGACAGGTGTGTGTTTGTGTCTGTGTCTGAGGGGTGTCTGGGGGGGCGGCTCCCACTGGCCCACAGAGCTCGCGGGGCCCTACGCACTTCATCTTCTCGGCGAGGTGCTCCGTGTTCTCCCGGATGGCGTGAGACAGCTGGGACACGGGGTTCAGCATCAGATTGTCAAAGATCACCTGTGAGGACAGTGTCAGCATGGCGCCCGGGAGCCCTCCGGAAGGCCCTGCTCCCCGGGGGGAACCCCAATGCCCAGCCGGGAGGGCCCCGTGCACACAGCCAGGCCAGCTTTCTAAGGGGCGGGTGGGGTGCCTGCCTCCTCGCGGCTCCGAGGCCGCATCTTGCTGGTGAGGGGGTCCTCACAGCGGTCGTTCATGTTCTGGTCCAAGTCTCGAGTGCTCAGGGAGCCAGGTGGCACCTTCTGGAAGTTGAGGCTGGCCTCGGGGATGCGCTGCACCAGCTGCAGACAAGGGCAGGTGGTGACAGCCCTCCGGGGTGGGGGCATCACCAGCAGGGGCAGACAGCATGCCTCCGCTCCTACAACAGCAGGGGGACGGAGCGGACCCCAAGCCCAGTCCGCTGGGGGCCCCGGGACACCCCAGCCCCCAAGGAAGGTGGATCCCAGACCCCACACTTCAGGGCGGCTGTGTCGGTAGCCGAGCACGGGACACACAGCCTTGGTGAGGGCTCGCGGCTCAGACTGCCGGGGTACGCAGCTGTGCGGGGCGGGGTGTGGCCGACGAGGCCAGGACCAGAGGACCAGGCCAGACCTCAGCAGGGTGGTGGCGGGGCGTACCTCCTCACGGGCGGAGATGGTTGAAGCAGGGGTGCTGGGCACATTGTTGAGGGAGGGGCTGCGGGCGGGCCCCGGTGAGCCCAGTGAGTCGCCGTCCCCAGCCACGTCGTGGATCTCCCGGGCCAGGATGGCCACATCCTTCACTAGTGTCTGGCTCAGCCTGCACCCGCAGGAAAGAAGGCAGGTCCTGTAGGGTCCTCCTGGGCGGGGCGCCAGCGTTGGGGAGGTCGGGGGGGTTGGCAGCCTGACGGAAACCTCCCCGGGCCGACCTCCCCTCTCAGGTGGAGGCAGGAGTCCTTCCCAAGAGGCAAGTGTGGGGTGAGGGGTACAGGCCAAGGGCATGCAGCCTCTAGCATGGCCCAAACTGTGCCCAACTGGCCACTGGCAGTGCCAAACAGGGCCCCAAAGGAGGCTCAAGTGTCGGATGCCCCAAGAGGGGTGGCAGGGGTGGGGCTGGGGCCGGGCAGGAAGGGTGGGCAGAGGCACCCCACACTCCAGAGCAGGCCACACCTTCCCCTCTGGCCACCCAGGCCCTACTCTGCAGGCAGGGACACTGAGGCAGGAAAGGGGTCACAAACAAGGCTCAGAAGCAGGCTATGGGTGAGACAGGCAGGCAGAGACCAGACACCTCCCCGCAGGGGAGGGGGGGAGGCCACGGAAGGCCACGGGAGGCCACGGGAGGCCAGGCTCCCAGCCCCAGCCCGGCCCTGCTCACACCCCACACAGGTTAGGCATGCTTCCCCACCAGGCTCTCAGGCCACCCGTAAAAGGACACAGGTCAGCAGGAACCAGGAGCACCTTCTACCCCCTAGTGCCCACGAAGTCCCCAGGCTGACCGCTGTCCTCAAAGCACATCAGGTCCCACAACCAGCCTGTCCTGTGGACTGGAGCCCTCGGCCCAGGCTGGGGGTACAAGAGTCCCCTGTCACTGTCCACACCGCTCCCTTCACTCAAGGGCGCATGAGCAACACCCTCCAGGTTCCTGGGCACATCACTGCTGCAGTCGCCCAAGTGACGGGGCCTCCAAGGCCCACCAAGGCCCAGCGACCACCCTCAGCTGTCCCAGCGTGCTCAGGACGCCGCCCAGCCAGCCCTCAGGGCCTGTCCTCTCCCATCGCCACCTGCACCTCTGCCTGGCATGGACACCCGAGCTCAGCCCCTCCCAGAAATGCTGAGCACAGCTGGAGAAAACTATCCCGGCTGGCCCCTACCTCCCCAGCAAGGCTGACCTGGGCGCCCTCAAGATGGGGGCCCCCCAACTGGGTCCCACCTTCCCTACATCAACAAAACGCAGAAAGACGTCCCTCAAAGTCATGGATGCCCAACGGACGTGTGCCCCTGCCTTAGCACCAGCCCCCGCGTCCTCTCTCCGGCCCCCAGCACATCGGGACGTCCAAGCCTGCCCATTCTGGGGCAGAGGCCCTGAAGCCCACAGGGGCCCCTCCATCCCGCCTCCTCGCCTCTGCACGCCCCTCGCCTCTCTCACCCAGCAGCCTCCTTCCAGAACCCTCACTCTGCCTCTCCGGCAGTCCGCCCCCTCGTCAGCCCTGTGCACTGCACCCCGCGTCCTGGGAGCTCCGTCCCCGGCCTTCTTCACGCCCTGCAGGCCCTCTCCGCTCAACCTCCAGCCGCCATGGCCTCTGTCACCATCTCTGTGTCTCCACCCCCACGGACCATTCTCCCAGGAACCACCTGCCTCTGGTCACCTTTCTAGGGGGCTCACAGGCTCAAGCTCAGCATCCTCAGCACCAAACACTCATTCACCCAGCCCCGGACGACTCCTGCCCCTGCACGAGCCCCACAGACCCCACCACTGTAGCACTGACCACTTCTCAGGGGAAGACCACCCCCATTGTCCACCACCTCTGCACCAGCCTCCCAGCCCCTGGCCTGGAGGTGACCCAGAAAATAACCGCATGAGAGTTCATCTTTAACAGAAATAGTACAGCCCTTCCTCTTACCAGAGGCCCCACACCCTCCTGGACAGATCTGCATTCATCCACCCACCCATCACCCACCCACCCACCCATCACCCACCCAATGTCCACCCACCCACCCACCCAGCCACCTGATATCCATCCTCCATCCACCCACCGGCCCACCCAGCCACCCCTCCATCGACCAGCCCTTGCTGAGCTCCTTCGGGAAGAGAGTCTCCAGACCAGGCCCTATCCCGGGGGTGCCCTTGGCCCCAAGGTGAGGTGCGCGCTGGCTTGAAGGCTCCCGCTGAGTTGGGCTCACCTAGCAATCTCAGCGATCTCTGCGGTCTGCACAATAAAACCGTAGGGGTCAGGATCTTCTTCCTCGTCGTCTGTGTCCCGGGGCATGGGGGCCCGGGGGCGAGTCCGGTTGGAGCTGCCAGCCCGTGGGGTCTGCGTGGCTGTTGAGGCATGGGAGCGTGTGTGTGTGGGGGAGCCGTGGTGGGAGCCATACTCCTCCTCGGATGTGGATGTGCAATCCGAGCCCTGCTGCCGGCGATGCGTGCCTTGGGTGCGCCAGTTGTTTCCAGAAGCAAGAACAGAACAGAGCAGCGCTCAGCACCCTGCGGCAGCCCCGGGTCCTTCTAGACGGATGCCCAGCGCTGCAGGACAAGCCACGCTGCATGCCCCCCCCATGCCCAGAGGCCAGCAGCTGAAGCGCCAACAGCTACAGAACTCCACAGCTGGGAGGCCACCACCAGCCCACAGGCACGAGGAGGGACGGGCAGGGATGGTGAGGGACAGGGAGGGACGGGGAGGGACGGGCAGGGTCGGGGAAAGACAGGGGAGCGTGGGCAGGGATGGTCAGGGACTGGGAAGGTCCGGGAGGGATGGGGAGAGACGGGGAGGGACGGGCAGGATCGGGGAGGGACCGGGTGGCCTGGCATTTCCACGGGCCTGAGACTGCTCACCCCGTGGGCAGAGGCCGTGTCCCGCGGGGAGGGTCTGTACCCATCAGATGGGAACTGGCAGGACTGGTGGCAGGGAATGGAACCCACGGAGACCTGCCCACTTGGATCAGCCCCAGGCCTGGGGGGTACCACGGAGGGTGGCTGGGCTCAGCCCTCACAGCCCCCTCCCTTGCCTGCCCGGTCTGGGACCCACTCCCCGCCCGCCCTGTTCTGAGGCCCTGCGGCGGCAGCATACACGCGCCGCCAAGAAAGGGGAGCAGTGGGCTGGCACGCAGCCGTGGTCCCCAGCCCTCCACCCCTCTGTCCTGCTCCGTCCCTTTCTCCAGCAAACCGGTCCCCAGCACTCCTCGCCCCCCGCGGCCCAGAAGGCAGGGAGGGGCCGTGTCTGCAGCCTCAGCAGAGCATGCCCAGCACCATCCAGCCACCCCGGGCAGGAGACAAGCCCCAGCGACCACAGCACCGTCCCTCTGCACCCCACCCGGGGCTGCGTGGGAGACTGACACAGCCTCCCCCAGGACCCAGCCCCCCAGGGGACAGCGCCAGGGCAGAGTGGGCAGCCCCAGCCTACTGTCCACAGCCACACAGGCCCCCACCCGCGAGTCAGCAGGAGCCCCTCCCTCCGGGCTCGCTGGAAGATGCGGACCCGCGCACACTCAAGGCTCTCGAGTGCGTCTGTGGAGACAGGCCTGCCTGGGAATGGGGGCTCCTCTAGGGCCAGAGTCGGGGGGGCCCCACGGCCATGCGTGGGGCTGACCCAGAACACTGCGGACCCACCGCCCTGGCTGACGCAGCACTCACTGGGTGAGGAGTATCGGGCACTGCCCGGGCGGGCCCTGCTAAAGGGCTGGCGGGGGGCCGTGGTGGTATTGGTGGCTTTCCTGGCGGCGGCGGCCCGAGCCTCGGCCATGACGGGTTTGCGGCCAGTACAGTACAACTCGACGCTGCGGCCAGAGAAGCTGGTGCGGGCAGGGGCCGCCTCGGAGTCGCTGGGCCCGGTGAAGGAGCCTGCCCGCTTCCGGGGCATGGCCAGGATGTCCAGGCGCGACAGCTTCTTGGCCTGCTCAGGGGCTGGCCGCCCCGCCGACTCAGGGTTGGCCGAGGGCCCCCGTTCACCATCGGCCGCCTCCGTGTCCGAGGCATCCCCCAGCCGGGCCCGCCTCAGCCGGGAGGCCCGTGTGGGCCGAGGGGTGGACAGGCTGTTGGAGCGGGTCAGCACTTGCTGGACCTTCTGGGCGCAGCCACGGCCCTGCTCTTCCCGCGGAGCCGGGGATGGCGCTGCAGGTGCCGGTTTCCGGCGAGGCCCTGGCCGCCCCGCCCCAGGGGCCACGGGGGTCTCGTGGTCAGAGGTGACAGTGTCTGCGCCAGGTGGGTGGGCCGGGCCGGGGCCTCGCTCTTCGTCACGCCAGTCCGAGGATGCCCGGGCCCCGGTGCCACGCCGCGCAGCCAGGCGCCTCCCCAGCTCTGCACGGCCCACGTCCACGGGGCCCGGGGGGCGACGATGCTTGTCTGAGAGGCGCTCTCGGGCGCTGTTCGAGGAGACGCTCCCTGGGTCCTGTGCTGCTGGTGCGGACGGCGGCTTCTCCTGCGGCCCCGCAGGCTGGGGGCTGGTTGGGCTGGGCCCGTTCTTACCACTGAGCAGGCTGACTGTGCTCCCTGTGTCCACATCAGAGTCCCCGGACAGGGAGTCATCTGGCGGCCCAGGGGTGCTGCCCATCGGGCCCTCTGCCTCCTCCGTGGACTTGGAGAGCAGCCGGGCCTCCAGGGCTGCCAGGGCTGTCTCCGTCTCCTTCAGGATCAGGTGGGTGTCCTGGGGGTGGAGGTCCATGCGTGAGGCCCGGGCGGCAGCCAGGTCCTGCAGGAGGGGGTGGGTCGAGATGTGTGGAAGCTGGCCGGGCGCTGGGGGGCCACCGACCGGCTCCTTGCTGAAGCTATCCTGTCGCACCAAGGCCGGGGCAGGGCTCTCGGGCTCCGAGGACCGCTCTGTCCGCAGCTGGATAACCATCCTCCCGCTGGAGCTGACGTAGACGCCGTCCCTCGCCACCTGCCTGGGGCTGTCCACCTCCCCTGCAGCCATGGATGGCTTCCTGGGGAAGGCCGTCTCCGCGTTCTGGTCCCCAATGAAGAAGGAGGCGGGGGCTGGCTCTCCAGGGGCCCTTGGCGAGTGCCGGCCCTTCGTCCACGCTACTCCCTCCTGGGGGCTCCTCCGTCTCTCCTCCTGCGGGCCCCCACCCAGCTCGGAGCCCCGCCCACCATCCGACCCACTGGCATCGCTGAGGCTGTCAGGCTCCAAGTCCTCCTGGCCCAAGAGGCAGCTGGCCTGCTCACTGCCCGGCTCCAGAGGCCCAGGGCCGCTCCTCTTGGTGGCCTCGAGGCCCCCAGGGCTGTCTGCGCGGTCGCTGGGCAGCTGTGGGAGTCGCCGTCGCTGGCGCACAGGCAGGGTCCCTTCAAGCTCCCCCGCTCTGCGCCCAGGGCTCTCCTCTGCAGAGACAAGGGCAGACTGGTTGGAGCGGCCGCTGGGCCTGCAGGCCCTCGGTGCATGCCAGAAGCCTGACCCTCCTCCGGACTTGGCTGGCACGCACTCACGCCCACGTGTCCGGTGGAAAGCCTGGGCCCAGCCCCTCCCCGCTGCTGAGCCTGAACCACTCACCTGCCAGGCTTGGGTCTGAGTAGCTGTCGGCCAGGCTGGCCCAGCGGGACACCCACTTCTGACCCCCGGGGGAGTCCGGCACCGTGAGGCCCTGAGGAGTGAAGGATGAGTGTGTGTCTGCGGCAGGGGAAGTTAGGAGCCCCATGGAGACCCCCACCAGTGGGGACAGCTCACCCTAACCCCTGGCCCCAAACACGCCATCTCTGGACCTGTGGGACAGCACCCCCCCCCGCCCCACCCAAGAAAGAGCCAGGAAACCCCCTGCTGCACTCCTGAGCTTACAGAACCCCGACGTAACTACCTAACCTGAGCCTGGTTCAGGAGCTAGAGGCCAGCAGCTGTGGCTCAGCCCAGCCCTGCCTGCGGGCACACACCCAGGGGCCCAACTTGACTTGGGACCTGTCCTCAAGCCCTCCACACAGGGCCCCGGCCCACCTGCCAGGTGGGCACGCCACTCAGTGAAGGTTTGACCCAGCCTCGTATGAGGCATCCAGCGCAGGCAAGACCATAACCTTCGAGCTCATACGGGACCTGATGATGGGGTCCCAGCACCTCCCCGGGGCAGCGTGCCTCCCACATACCTGGAGCTCCCCTTGGGGGGCTATGCCCACCGACCGGGAGGCAAACTCCTGCAGGAGCGCCATTCGCTGGGCGACCCCGTCACTGGCTTCGTCTCTGTCCCCTCTGATGACCGGACGGAAGGTGGCCGAGGACACCCTGGAGAGCTCAGGAGACTCAAGTACCCCAAAGACCTGGGAGGAGGGATGGCCAGGCCCTTGGGTCAGAGCCGCCCCAACCCCAGCCAGGCCCCCAACCCCCTGCCCCGCAAACCTGGTCGATCATCTGGCGGGCCTCCTCCACCTCCGGGTCCCGCCCCTCCGTCTCGATGGTGTAGGTCCCCGCATCGCTCAGACTGTCGTCTTCATCTTGTTTGCGAGCCTTGCTCAGCTGGGGGTCGGCGGGAGGCGGTGGGGGGGTCGCAGGGGCCACGGGGCTGGCCCCACGGGGTGTCTCGGGGGCCGGTGTCGCTGGAGATGCCTTGTCAGGGCCGGACCGGGCGGTCGGGGAGCCCTCCCGCGGGCACTGGGCCATGAAGTCCTGGGCCAGACGGGAGCGGCGCCCCACGCTGCCAAAGGATCGGGCAGAGCCCCGGGAGGTGGGCGAGGGGCCCCCCAGGCGCTCCTCTGTCCTCTCCCGCTTGAGCGAGCTGGCCCGCTGCGGCCCTGAGCTGCCGCCTGTCCCCCGCGCCGAAGCAGGGACGGCTGAGCGGTCTCTGTCCGCTGGCCCGGGGCCTCGGCGCTTGTCGGCCTTGGGGTCCCCGGGAGGGGTGTGCGTGAAGGACTGGGAGCGCTTCTTGCGGGGCGTGTCCTGGTCGAAGAACTCGATGACAAAGGCCTGCTGGTTATGCAGCAGCTCCTGGGGGTCCCGCTTCATCTGCCTCTGCAGCCGCACCTGCACCCCGCTGCCCTCCGCAGGGACCCCAGCTGTCGCCACCGCCGCCTTGGCCGTGGGGTCCTCCGAGTCGCTCTGCGTGCCATCCTCATGCTTGTGACCTGGGGGTGGGGAACCCCAATGCATCAGGTCAAGGGAAAGGGCGCAGCGATCTGGGGGGAGGGGAGCCTCTTTACCCCCTGCCCAAGCGGTGCCACGAGGCTGGGGACGTGGTACCCACAGCGCACAGCACCCAGCACATGTGGCCGAGATGAGCACCGGGAACACGCCCAACTGCCCCAACTGGGGAGGCAGGCGTCTGGCAGTTAATTGCAGGTGGGAAATCAATCAAGCTGATGAGGGCGCCCCACCGGGAGGCGAAGGCGCTGTGGTGAGGTCACGGCCCGCCCGGCACTCACCCTTCAGGGTGCGGGTGTGGACGGGCAGGTCACTCTTGGTGCTGTGACGGTCATCCCCGGGGCCAGCCCGGCACAGCAGGCTAGGGTCACTCTGCACCAGCCAGTCAGCCACCTTGGTCTCGGCAGACACGGCCTCCACAGGTGTGGCCTCCTTGTCTGGGGGCCGTCTCTGGCGCAGCGAGAACTTGGTGACGTGGTCCTTGATCTTCACCTTGCCGGGGCTGCAGTCGTCAAACTCGATGGTGAAGGAGGCATGGCTCTGCACCACAGGGGCCGTGGCGGGTGCCTCCTGGGCCGGCGCCTCAGGGGGCCGCGGTGGCGGAGGGGCCTCCTTCGTGGGGATCTCAAAGTAACTGGGCTCCCGCCTGAACGAGAAGCCCTGAGGCTCCGCCGCCGCCCGGAAGCCAATCGTCCCAGGGAGCTCCCCGTCCTGCTGTGCTGGCTCCTTGGGCCGCTCTGGGTGGGTGGGGGGAGAAAACATGTCCTTGGGGGCTGCAGGGTGCTGACCTCGGACCGCCCACCTCTGCCAGCACGGTCAGCTGTCTACCCCGGAACAGGCATTTCCAGCCCGGCCACCCTGCAGAAGCGCCAGGGGCCTCTGGGACCTACCTGCGTAGGGCTCCTCCTGGCGCCGGTCCTCGGGGGGGCTGCCGCTGTCGTCCTCCCCCCACCAGGAGGGCTGCCCGTACAGGGGTGTGCGGTAGGCCGCCGACTCTGCATGAGGAGAGGGAGTTCGACACTAGGTCACTGCGCCCCAGCGCAGACGAGGAGGGAAGACCCGGGGCCGGGAAGGCGCCGGGTTCCGGAGGGGTCCTGGTGTCACCTCCCACCTCAGCCCGGGACCCTGCCCGAAGTGCTCCAGCTTCGCCACTCTAAGGCCCATTCCCACATCTACGGTGGGTGATGCTCGCTGCCCCCAACCCGCCCAGGCCTCCCTGTGCAGGAGGCTCACCTGGGGCAGCACGGTCCTCAGCGCCCCCATCCTGGGGCAGGCAACCCCTCCAACCCTGGCTGAGCCCTCTGCCCCCGGAGCCTGCCTGCCACAAGGGCAGGAGGACAGGAGTCCATAGCCAGGGCGGGTCCCTCTCCAAGGTCTGTAAGTGGCTCGAGCCACAGAGGGGCGACCCTGACGGCCGGGCCCCACCGCAGGCTGACCGGACCACACAGGGAGCAGGGGGGCAGTGCACATGGGTGGGCATGTCTCGGGCTGTGCAGGCGTGGGGCACATGGATGCCTGAGCCCACAGCCCAGCAGGTCTGTGCTGGGGCAGCAGGGAGCTGTGAGCCCAGAGGCTGAGAGGCAGGGCGGGGGCCGTGCTGGGAGGAGAGCATGACCCAGAGCAAGCAGATAAAGGGGAGCCATGGGGAGGCCGGGGCGGGGGGGCAGGCCTGTGTGCACACCCCTCCTGGGCCCCGGTGCAACACTGCCCTTACCTGCCCCTGGCCTCCGGTCCCCCCTCTCCGGCCTGGGACCCAAGGACTCGCAGTAAGGGGTGTGCTGCGGCAGCGCTTCGCCCTTCCTGGGGGCCGGGCCCTTGACGCTCACCTGCAGCTGACTGGTATACTTCTCGTGCTGCGGGCAGGGGGGCCGGGGGTGAGGGCAGGGTCGGCCTCAGGAGGACACCCAGGGCAGCCCGCTCCCTCTTGCTCCAGAGAGGGCCAGGACTGGCCCCGCACACCACGAGGCTTCCCTCACAACACCCACGGAGGGAACATCCTGAGGCTCGAGGCTGGGGGTCCTCACCCAAGCCTGGCGGGGGGGGTGCGGTTCTCAGGACCACACAGCTTCCAGGAAGGAGCTGGGGTTTGCTTGGAGCGGGCAGCAGTCATCAGAGGTCACATGCCACCCCCCACTCAGGACCCACCAGAGAAGGGTGGGACAGGCCCTGGGCCACGGGAGGTGGGGGACAATGGTCTATCCGAGCACACCATGTGCGTGCACGCTTGTGTGCGTGCATCCGTGTACGGGCCCCTGGCTGAGCTCTACAGCTGTCAGACCCAGGCTCACACTGCCCATGTGACTCCGGACAGGCCGCCCACACTCCAACTGAAAGACAGGGCTAAGGCTAGTCTCCCCCACAAGGAACTCCCGAGTAAAGCTCTGGGCAGGGTCCCCCAAGTCGATGCTCTGTGACTCCCACAGAAACGAGCAAAGGGGGGAGAAGATGTCCCACCCACTGCGGCCCCTGACCCAGGTCCCTCCTGCCCGTTCCTAGCTACCACCTGTGGTAGCCTGATTAGGGTCCTCCTTGGTACCCCAAATGCCTCGGGGCCTCCCCTCCCCCAGCTGGGTGCAGCAGCCTCCCCGCTACTGCCACCACCTGCAGCTGCAGCAGCCTGGGGAAATGACTACCTTCCCCACCTGCCAGACCGGGCCAGCCTGCAGGACAGGCCAGGCCAGGCCAGGCCGGGCTGACTCATGGCACCACAGCCAGGCCAAGGGAGCCAAGAGGTGTGGGAGTGCTGGGCAGGAGGAGGGGTGTGGGGACGGGGGGGCCCCTTGGCTGAGTGCTGGCACTGACCCTGAGCGCCTCCTCGGGGACCCGGTGCTGCACGCGCTCCAGCACGTACATGTTGGAATGTGGCCGCAAGTTAAGGCAAACCCAGAGCAGAAAAGCCAGGATGGCCTTTGGACAAGGGCACGGGGCCACGTGGTACAGGCATTCTCTGCAGCGAGATGAGCAGACAGCTCCTGGGCAAGTCAGACTGACAGCCCTGGGGGGCTGTGCTGTCCCCACACCCGCTTGTGCACCAGGCCCGTGTCCACACTGCTCTGAGTCAGAGAAGCAGGACAGACGCTGCTCCAGATCACGGCACACACATGCCCTTTAAACCCTTAGCCAAAGTGCGGGGCAGGGCGGGCAGGTGATGTGCCCAGGAGCCTGCCACACAGCTAGCTCCCAGCTCCCATCCCAGGCCACCCCTCAGCACCGGCCTCCCAAGGATCTGGGGTTGGGAGGGCCTCAGACAGCGGCTGGGCCCACACCCACTAGCGGTTGTGCGAACACGAGAGCTGGCCGAGGCGGGCATAGAGGAGAGGACATGCTCCTGCCACGTGTACGGGTCCCCAGGGCAACCAGGCTGCTCAGGGCGGAGGCACAGACCCCACTCCCGCATGCTCGAGCACAGAACGCCAAGCCTGGGCAGCCCCCAGGCCACCAGGGACCCTGGGTCCCAGGGAGGGCTCACTCGCTCCTGGGACCCTGTGTAAGCTCAGACCAGGAGACAGGAAGCAGGTGCCCATGACTGGGGCCTCTGTCGGGGGCACAGGGGCCGGGGTTCAGGCTGGAGCCCAGCCCGGGGTCATGCTGGCTACTCTGTGACGCCCGTGGGCCCCAGCTGTGCCCATGGAGGCCCCTACGACTGCCAGGACAACAAGACGACGAAGGCCAGAGGGAGGGAGCGCGGTCAGGAAAGGATATCGTAGCCAAATCGAATGACGTCATGGAGCTTCAGCGTGACGTACTTCTGGTCCGGGATGCGCACGTCATTCACGAACGTCTGCGGAGGAAACAGGTGGCAGGGCCCGGCCAGCAGCAGGCGGGGCAGCAACTCTGCAGTGCCCTCCTTCATGCTGCTCTGGGCCAGCCACTGTCCCTTGGACACACATGCACCCAGCCTCACCCCTGCAGGGACCACGGGACAGGTGACTGCCGAAGGCCTGGCCTCATCCAGCACCCGGGACCCTGAAGTGGCAGCGGCCAAGGCACACCCGCGGGGTGGCCCCATGGCAAGGCTGGCCGGGCGGTGCAAGGCTGCCTGCTCCCCAGAAACCTCCTCCCTCCCCCAGGGGCTCTCACTGGCTGGCCACTGGACACTGCACTCTGGCCAGATCGGGGAGAGAGCCCCACACACTCTGAGGGCCTTGGGGCAGGCCAGGCGACAGAGGGAAGACAGAGGGGCTCAGGCATGGCAAGTGTGCCGGAGTCTGGTGGAAGGCACGAGAACCAGGGAGGACTCGGGGGCGGAGCAGAAGGGTGGGTCCACAGGGAGGGGCCCCAGGCCAGGGCTGGGTGGTGCAGAAACGAGCCTGCGGGGCAGCAGAGCAGGCCTGAGAGAGGGCTGGAACCCCGGCAAGCCCAGTCTGCACACGCTGCCAGTGACGCGGGAGTCCGTGAGCTCCTGCAAGCAGTGGAGGGCAGCAGGCCCGGCGTGGGGGCAGCCTGTCAGCCTGTGCCCGTGGCTCGGTGCTGCACAGGCAGGCAAGACTTGGCCCCAACTCTACAGATGTCACTCAGGCTTCTGAGAAGCACACACTAGGCCCGCAGCGCCGGGGACCCTCTCAGAGCCCAGGCGGTCTGGGGGGCCAGCGCCCCATGCAGCCGGTGTTGGCGGAGGGGATGCTCACTCTCCTTGCAGCCCCATTCAGGTAGGGCGACTCTGTCTGACAGGAGGGCTGACAGAGGAGGGGTTCAGGAGCAGACCCCAGCAGAGCCTGAGACCCCCACCCAGGAGCCCTGCACGGGAAGTGGTGATAAGTGCCCAGCACTCGGCAGCCTGAGGCTGCTGTGGGACCCCCCCCCCAGCTCAGGATGGAGAAGGCAGACCTCACGAGCTGGGGGGGACAGGGAGGAAGGCCCTCCTCGGGCAGAAGGAAACCACATATCCACACAGCCAGGCACGGGACCCTGGAGGGACCCCTCATCTGACCCCTCCCTGCTCACAAAGGAGACCACACATCCCCCAGAACCGGGTATCCCAGCAGACAGCCCCGCTTCTCAGCCTGCGGGACATCCAATGTCTCCCACCCTCCCTAGGGCCCTCCCCCCCCACAACAGCCCTGCCCCACACGGAGCCTCCCAAGGAGGCCATGGGGCCACTGCACCTGCAGGTGGCTTCCTCCCCACCTGAGCAGCAGATCCTGGAGGAGCTCAGGCGGGGACAGAGCAGAGGGATGTGGTGGCGGAGGGCAAGGGGACCACAGCAGGGGGGCAGAGCTGGAGTGGGGCCCGGGAAGGGGGCAGGGCCAACACCGAGCGGAGGTAACGAAGAGGAGTGGGATCAAGGCGGAGGAACAGACCGTGATGGGGGGGCAGGGTGCAGAAGGAGCTGCGGCGGGGAAGACAGGTGGGGCTACTATGGGGGGGCGGGGTGTCATGAAGAGGGGTGTGACCATCACAGAAGGAGGCGGGGCCAGCAGAGAGACAAAGGCCATGAAAAGGGGCGGTGCCAGCAGAGGGCTGGGTCGTGGTGGGGGCGGGGTCATGAAGGGGCGGGGCCAGAACAGAGGGCGGGGTCACGACGGAGGCGGGGCCAGCACAGAGCACCCCTTGCCCCTTGCACTCACCCCGTTCAGGCTTCCCAGGTCCTTCACCCAGTGCTCATCCCTGTCCTGATCGTAGTTGATGACAGCATGCTGCTTGTCCACGCTGCGGGACTGGGGACACACAGACTGCCCTCAGCTCGCCTTCGCAGCTAGGTGAGGCCCAGGAGGCAGAGGAAACCCCAGAAAGAACCCCATCCTCTACCCCACTGCACTGCCAACACCAGCCAGCTAGGCCTGGGAGCCAACAAGGTCCAGCCCACACCCCCACACCCTGGGTATGTGTGTCCCAGAGAGCCCACCCAGGCTGGACTCGGCCAGCTGTCCCAACCACTGGAACAGGCCACGGGGATTTGCTGAGATGCCAAGGCCAGGTCTGCCCACCCCACTGCTGCCACCCGGGCCCCTCCTTTTCTGTCCAGCCCTCTGCAGCACCACCAACAGGCCAGTGCCCCCCATCCCTGGGTCAGCCGTGGGAAGGGGGGAACCTCTGGTCATCTGGGACGTGCTGCTCACTCCCAAGGGCAGGTGGGGGCAGGCAGAGCCCACAGGGAGGACCACAGGGCTGGGGGGGTTCAGGGACAGGCCTTCCCCCCACTCCTGGCCAGCCCCACAGGGGCACAGCCTCTCCCCGTGCTGCTCACACATGTGCAGGATGAATCTCAGACCCTACAGCTATGTGCCCACGTGCACAGGACTCACACGCCTCCTGCGCACACCTTGCCGCACACATGCGTGCTGAGCACCGCCAACCTGCCCCGGCCCCCAACTCTCTCAGGACCCCTCCCCAGCCGGTCACCCAGCCCGCTCACACAGTCAGCTGGAAGAACACAAACCAGTCCCCAGCACACCTCTCCACTCCTAGGGCTCGTGGTGCAGAGGCCGGGATAGGGTCATGGAGTCCCACGCTCTTTGCGGAGGCCCCGCCAGCACAGGCCACCTCCCCAGCCACGAGGCCAGCGGTCTTGGCACAGAGCACGCCACCGCCCACCCCACACTCACTCTGCTGGACGCCCTGGGTGTCTGGGTGGCCCCTGCATCCCTCTTTGGCCACCTAAGGAGACACAAGCCTGGGGACCAGCCCCTGGACAGCCCAGCAGAACCAGCCAATCTAGGAAATGTCCAGACCTGCTAGGATGACAGTGAGGGACCCTGTGGACCTGCCAGGCAGTGCCTCCACAAGACACCCAGACCTACCTGCAGAGCACCTGCGTGGGAACGATAGGGCTGCACACCTGCTCTCCACGGCCCGGCATAGGATGGCCCCTAGCCCATGAGGGGGTGGCCCAGGACCTGAGTCCCTGTCACCATACCACCAGGCTTCTCCGTTCCCACAGGTGAGTGCCCAGACCCTTCCTCCCTGAGGCGGCCGGTCCCCACAGAGCCCACTTTTTCCCTGGCTTCCAGGGGCGGCCCCAGCACCCTCCCAAGGACTAGAAGCCCCTGCCTCACCCAGAGGCCCAAGGACACAGCAAGATGGGGGTGGGGGTGGGGGTGGGCTCTGGTCCCTTAGCTTGGCAGATGTGCCAAGAGCCCTGGAGGGCAGACCGTCGGCGGCTAGCTCGTAGGGGCTGTGCCCTCAGCCCCAGCAGCAACCTGCAGGCTCCAGCCCTGCCCGCACTCAGAGGCCCCAGGCGGCCAGCTGGACCCCCAAGGATGCTGCCACATGGGGGACCTGGGGAGAGTGGCATGAGGAAGGAATGGGCCTTTGGTTCTCTGGAAGGGAACGGGGGTGCAGGGACGGTCACCGAGCAGTCAGCGGTGCCAGCAGGAGCCTCCCTGACACAGAGGCCACCCCTGGGCCATCTGCCCCAAGCTGCTCGAAGGACACGGGTCAGCAGCGCAGCCTGCCGTCAGCATCTCCCCCAGGACAGCCTGGGGGTCTCCTGGTGCCAACGCATCTCCCACGGCGACAGCTCTCCGAACAGGTGAGTCTAAGCTCGAGACCTACTGCCTCTCCCCCCAGGCCTCACCTCTGCCCCCACCCTGAATTCCTCACCCAGAGTTGGCACCCACGGCCAGACAGCTCCGGCCACAGCCTCTTCCCTGGGTGCCAGGCACCCCCTCCTCCATCAGACACCCCTCCCTGTCCCAGATGCAGGCCGGCCCAGCGCTCACCTACCCCCAAAGCCGGCCCTGCACTGCAGCCCCCCACTGGCCCTGGCCTGGGCCTCCCCGACCCAGCACAGGCGGGGGACCCTGGCACACCCTTACCTGGGCCTCAGTCTCCCAGCTGCAGTGGGGCTGACAAGAACCAGCAGCTCTCTGGGGGAGCATGAGTGCTCAGGCTCGTCTCACCCCAGCCAGTGAACCGCCCCATGGGCAGCCTCGTGTCCAGCCGGCCACTGAGAAAACACTACTTGCAGAGGAGGCTGGGGGCTCACCTCCTCCTGCGCCCTTTCCCAAGCAGTGCCCAGGGCTCGAGATCAGGCCAGCTGCCCACCTCAGCCCTGCTGGACACCCCGGGTGCCAAAGAGCCCCCCCGCATCTCTGGAAAGTGAGCCTGGGGGTGGGCTGTGGCCGTTGTGCCACCAGGTATCACACTGCAGGGGTGCTGCCGGCCTGGGAAGGGCACTGGGCAGGGGTGTACCACGGGGCTCTGGCCAGCCCCTCACCAGCACGCAGTGAGATACGGGCCGGCCCGAGGTGGACAGGGGTAGGCAGCAGCAAGGGCACGCTGCCCCTCAGGCTTGGACCCCACCTCTGCCAAGGAGTAACCCCCTAGAGGGGCTTCTGGGCTGACCTCCCAGCCTGACCAACTCCCTTCCCCTCTCAAGCCTCAGACCCCCAACTCCCAGACTCAGCCCAGCCGGGCCAAACCAGATTCCTCCCTCCCTGCGCACCTGGCCCTACAGCCTTCCCCCAGGAGGGCCAGCAGCGGAGGGTCCAGCTGTACCCCCTTGCCCCCAGGTACCCACTGGCCTTCCCCGTCAACCTATCCCCTGCAGGCATCTTTCTCCCATCCTCCCGGCCCCCATCAGTCATGCCCATTACTCTTTTGCAGAAACTTCCTGAGGTTCCTGGCCAGCCTGAGAGAAAAGGCTAGCCTTGTCCCATGAGCCACAGGCCACAGAGGCTTCTCCAAACCTTCCTGCCCTGCCCTGGCCTGGCCAGCCCTCTGGCCAGACCGCTCTGTGGGTTCTGGAGATGCCATGCCCCTTCTTGGACCTGAGTCCTTCGCCGAGGACCACCACCCTCCCTGTGTCCACCTTCCCTGACGCCCCCGCCCACCCCATCCATCTTCTGGTCCTTGGACCTTGCACAGTGTCCCCCCCCCATTTGCCCCCAGAGCCTGGGCCGCCCCATCCAGTCCCCAGGCCCAGCCTCCACTCCCGGCCAGGGCTCTAGCACCAGGCACAGCTCCTGCAAAACCCCCTTCCCAGACTGGGGGTAGCACCAGGACTGATGGGGAGCAGGTGGAGAAGGGCTCCAGGACCAGAAACCTCCCTCCCAGCCCTGACACCCCAAGCCAGAAGCAGACCCCAGTTCCACCAGGCCCAGGAGCTCAGAGGCTGGACACCCACCCAGGGAAGATGGAGGCAGCCCCTTAGCCCTGGATTTGAGACTTCACAGGACACAAAGCAGTTCATGAAGGGAGAGATCGTGCAACAGGTGAATAAAATGACCCTAACAAACTCCAAACATACAGATATTTGAAAAAGAGTCTAATTATACTCACTTTAAAAGGAACAAAGATGTGCTTCCAAACTTTATGTGACTCCCTCCGTGGAAAGAGCCCGGCCCAGGCCAGCCTGATCCTGGCAGCGGCCAAAACCCAGGGCTCTGGGCACACCCTCCCACCAGTCCGCACCCGGCATCACCCACGTCCACTGCGGATGGGCTCAGTTGGCTCGCGTGCAGAGGGCTCCAGCTCGGGGCTGTGGTCTCCGCATGAGGACGCAAGCAGACACACCCTGGCTGCTACATTCCCACAGGGCAAACGGGGCAGAAGCGGGGAAAACACCTGTGCACAAGCACAGAGGCATGCATGTGCACACACACGCGTGTGCACAGGGATACACCCCCACACGCATGTGCACAGGGATACACCCCCACACGTGCACGTGCACAGGGATACACTCCACACATGTGTGCACAAGCACACCCCCACACACGCGTGTGCACAGGGAAATGCCCCCACAAACACACACGTGCACAGGCACACATGCGTGCGCAGGGATACACCCACACACGTGTGCACAGGGATACACACACCCCCACACACGCGTGCACAGGGATACACCCACACACACGCGTGCACAGCACACGCCCCACATACACGCGTGCACAGGCACATGCCCCCCCCACACGTGTACAGGCACACACACACCCTCACACGCGCACGTGCACAGGCCCCCACACACACACGCGCGTGCACACACCGCACACACACGTGCGATGCACACCCCATACACGTGTGCACAGGCACACAGGCCCCCCCACACGTGCACAGGCACACATGCGTGCGCAGGGATACACCCACACACGTGCACAGGGATACACACACCCCCACACGCGTGCACAGGGATACACCCACACACACGCGTGCACAGGCACACGCCCCCCACACATGTGAACGTGCACAGGCACATGCCCCCCACACGTGTGCACAGGCACACGCCCCACATACACGCGTGCACAGGGATACACCCACACACACGCGTGCACAGTCACATGCCCCCCCACACACGTGTGCACAGGCACACCCCCCACATGCATGCACAGGGATACACCCCCACACACACACGTGCACAGGCACATGCCCCCCCCACACGCGTACAGGCACACACACCCCCACACACGTGTACAGGCACACACACCCCCACACACGCGTGCACGGGCACACGCCCCCCCACACGCGCACGTGCACAGGCACACCCCCACACACGCGTGCACACACACGTGCGAGGCACACCCCACACACGTGTGCACAGGCACACGGGGCCCCCCCACACGTGCACAGGCACACCCCCCACACACACACGTGCGTGCACCAGCACACACACCCCACACACACGCCCGCGTGCAGAGGCACACGTCCCACACCAGAGCAAGAGCCACAGCCGGCAGCCCACATCCACGCTCACAACAGCGGGGCACCAGCTCTGTGCCACACTTGGGAGAGTGTGGGGCGGCACATGGCCAGACTGGCCGGCTCTGCCTCCACACACGCCCCCCCACCTTCCGCTGCCCTGCAAGGTCCAACAAGCCACAGCCCCTCCCGCCTCATCTGCGGCCCAGGCCCCCTGGACAGCCCCCTGCTCCCCAGCCTCCCCGCACTGCCTGCTCCCTGTGCCCTGTGTGGAGGCCACACCCCGCCCAGCACCTGTGCCAGCCCTCCGTGCCCCTCCCCCCCCGAGTGTCCAGTCGGCCCCACAGCCCCCCATCCCATTCCCAGTGCCACCTCCTGCGGGCTTCTGCCCTGGGGACTCATCTGGTCCCTGCTTACATGGGTGTGGCCGGCCCCATCCCAGAGCAGTGACCCCAGGAGGCAGGGTCTCTGCAGGGCCCTCCCGGCGCCAGGACAGTGCAGTGCTCCATCACAACTGTGGAGTGACAACAGGGGCACAAGGACACAGACCCCACAGAGGGGAGGCCCGGGCCTCCGGAGGACGAGGCAGGGAGGGGGTGAGCTGGCAGGGAAGGATGAGCGGGGGTGGGGGGCCACCTGAACAGAGGGGCCGGGGCGGGGCAGCTGTAGGGCGAGGCTGGGATCCACCAGTGTGCCTGTCCCCTGAGCCCGGGCGCAGTGGCAGCGCCGCCTGTGGATGCCCAAAGCACGGGTAAGGGAGAGGGAAGGTCAGGGTGTGTCCCTGGACCACTGGCGGGGACACTGGCAGGGACCCTGCTGGAGGGGACGGAGGCTGGTGGTTTTGCATGGAGCTGGGGCTGCCTGGGTGAGGCCCACACAGGCTATGACTGCAGGTGGCTAGAGGCTGGGGACAGGAGAGGCAAAGACACCATGTGAATCACCTGAGCGGGTGTGGAAACCAAGGTATGGGAGTGAGGGCACCTCTGGGAGACGCAAGGGGTGGACCTGCCCAGGAGCTCAGGGCCCAGACAGAAAGGGAGGCTGCGGGGGTGGACAGCATGCATGACGTCCTGGAGCCTCGGTTTCCCCAGGTGCCGGAGGACAGCAAGGTGCACCCGAGCCTGGGGCTGGACCTGCATGAAGGGCTGAAAAGTGCCCGCTGCTCCTGCCCGGCTCAAGGCTCCACCACCAACAAACCAGAACTGGAACTGGACCCCAAGCTCACTTGAGCACCCTGATCCCCACCTCCTACCCCAGAAGCCTCTGCACCAATCCCTGGGAAAAGCAGCAAGCAGAGTGAGGGCCTGGTGCAGGCAACAGAGCCAGGCAGTGGGCAGGAAGAACACCCATGCCGGGCCCTGGTCAAATACTGCCTCCTCCAAGAGGCCCTCCTGGCCACCCCAGGTAGACCAACAAAGCCATCAACACGCTACCCAGGCGCACGGCACCTTGCCAGGGTCAGGAACCCAGCCCGTTTTCAGACCCGCCTCCAGCGACAGAGAATGGGGGTCACGTTCCGTGTCCTTGTCAGGAGCCGCCAGCCACCTCCAGACCTCGGCGGGGCCGCTCAAGATGCCAGGGGTGCGACTGAGCCTGCCGCCTGCTTTGTGCACACCGCGAGTTCGGAGCACGCTTTCTACCCGTAAATGGTTTTTAATAAGCTGAGGCTATGTCGTGACACGTGACGACAGGAGACTGACATTGCAGAGGCCGCGAGGAAGACCCCCTGGTGCCAGCATGCCGGCTGCCTCGCGGTCCTCGGGCTGCTCCACGGCCAGGAGAGCGCAATCGCGGCCGAGGAGGTGTGCGGCCCAAGAGGCCTCAGAGACATTCCCCAGTCTTTACGGGAGACACATGCCCACCCCGTACAGTCACTGACGCGGTCTCCCCAGCTTCCAAAGGCATGACGAGAAATAAGAGGACAGACTGTTCCAGATCAGAGACGCTTCGGAGGCCCAGCAACCAAACCTGACGTGGGAACTTGGCCGGCCTAGCCAAGCAAGTCCGAGGACCTTCGGGGAGAAGCCAGGGTGTCCAGAGAGGGACGGGCTTGCCCTCGGGAGACAGAGGTGGACGTCTGCTGCCCAAGTGCGCGTGTGTGTGGCAGAGCCCCCGTCTGCAGCCCAAGCCACAGGTGTCCCAGGGAGTGGGCGGCAGCAGCCAGGCTCACACAAGGGAGCCAGGGCCTGAGCCAGGGCCTGAGCCAGGCCTCACCCTGCACCCGAGTGGCCCACCCAGGACACCACAGTTGGGGGCATGAGCTTGGGGGGCTTGGGGGACAGCAGCCCATGTGCCACACGGAGGGGGGGGGCGGCAGCGCAGGGCTGCAGGAAGCCCAACTCAACCACACCCATGAGGCGCAGGGAAAAGGACACCCGAACTAGGGTGAACCCTCCTTGTTCCCAAATAGCCAGATACGTGAGCCCCACGGAAGCCAAACCCACACTCTGAAACCCAGGGCCTGAAAGTCCTGACGGCCAAGAGCATGGTGCCCTGGCCCCACCAGCCTTTTCTGCCCAAGAAAGGCCCCTTCCCCGCCCCAGGTGCCTCAAAGGGGCACCAGCCTTCCCCTGGACAGCTCTGATGGCCCGAGATGGCCCTGGGGCTCCCCGCTCCATTTGTGGCCCAGCTGGGGCCCCAGACAACAAGGATATGGATAGGTCCACTTTCCAGCACCTTCCAAAGGTGGGTCCCCGGTGCCTTGAGAACCTGATAGGCACCTAAACACCTTCCTGTCAGAAAAGCTCCAATATGCAGAGGCAGGGACCAGCCTCGTGAGCACACACTCAGGCCTGCATACGCCCAGCTGTGGGTCCAGGGTCCAGGTGGAGACACCCAGGCCCAGGGCTGACTTGAGGGCTCCCCCCAAGGTGTCCTGCAACGAGTAGGCTGGGCGCCTCCCTGGCCCGGGTCCTGGACCTGCCTTCTCAGCCCCGAGGGGCTCACACTCACCTGCAGCATGAGCTCACACTCATCACGCCCCACGAAGATAAGCTCTCGCGGAAGCCGGTGGCGGGTACCACTGCTGCTCACCAGGAACCAGGAGGTGACACTCATCTTGGCACTGGCCAGGCCTATCCGGCCCTGGGGGGAAGGAAGTGTTAGAGCAGGCTTCCCTCCCTTGGCCCCAGCCCCTGGACACAAAAGGCCCAGAACAGATCCTCCCCCCTGGAGGTTCAAGCACCCCCATGGCCACACAGCGGCCACCCCTGGAAACGCTGGGTCCCAGCCATACTAGGCCACCCGCCCTTCCCTGAAGATGCCTGCCCCTGTGGCCGCCTTCCCCAGCTAAGTTCTCCCAGTCCTCCCTTGTGCTCTAGGCCCTTCTCCTCTCCCGCCTAGATGCCAGGCGTTGAGTCTACGAGGAGGCACAGGCCACGCTGCCCACGTGTGGAGCCACACATGTCCTCATGACCCGACCAGGAACAGCTCTTGAGTGGGACTCGGCATGGCCCATCGGGGTCCCCACAACGCCAGGTGCACAGGGCCAGACCCCATCCCAGGACACATAGTCTGCACCAGGGGATCTGTTTCCCCTAGCCGGACACTCTGGGGTGGACCTGGCAAGGAGGGTCAGGGGGAGACAGCTGAGCATAGGAGCCCTGAGCCATCAACACACTGATCACTTAGAGGAGACAAAACAGCCCTTGGCAGCCACTCCAGCCATCCTGCTAAGCTCCCCAAGCCAGGACAGTACCAGGTGACCAAGGCAGCAGGTGACGGAGGTGGTGCCCGAGGTCCCAGGGGCATCGTGAGGGGCTGGTATGGTCAAGATGGGCAGGGAAGCACCACGGTAGCTTGAGGGGCACAGTGGGGGCAATCTGAATGACAACAAGGTCCAATGTCACCCAAGACCAGGCACTGGGGCAGCCTGAGGCCCCCATGCAGCCTGCACGCACACGCTCTCCCACAGGCGCCGTGCTCACCCGGAGCCCCAGAGCTGTGTCACAGTGGCACCTGTGTGTGGACACCAAACATGCACGCACGCTCATGGGACACACGTGTGCACATGGCCTCCCGCGTATCCAGAGCACCACCCACAAGTGTCCTGGCCGCTCTTCACCATACAAACACGCATGATGCTGAAATACACACACACACACACACACACACACACTGGATAAATCACATCCCGAGCGCCACCATGTGCCGAGGGGCGTCCTGGGCTCTGAGACAGCTGTGACCCGCACCACCAGCCTTCCCACCAGCTGCGGAGGCAGGCAACAAGGTGAAAGGCTCTGAGAATGTGTGAGTGTCCCAGAGGAAAAACGAAGCAGGGAGGGAGGGGTGGGGGGCCTGGGAAGGGGACATCTGAGTAATGCTGGAGCAGGGACAGGAACAGGTGGACGGAAGCAGGCATGTGAACGTCTGGGGACTGTGGTCCAGGCAAAGAGAAGAACCAGTGCAGAGACATGGGTCTCAAGCCTCAGGGCGTCCTGTGGCCGGTGCTGGAGCCAAAAGGTAGTTCCAGGACCTGCTTCATCTCCGGGAGGCTCAGCGCAAAGTGAAATGTGGTAGCCTTGTTCAAAAGTCATGAAGAATTTCAAAAACACCATGAGCGGAGCACTGAGCAGAGCAGGGGTCACAGTGGAAGGGCATGGGCAGGTGCCACGTGGCCAGCCCTGGAGGTCCTGAAGCCACAGTGTGACTCAGAGGATGGAGCACAGACGGGAGAGAAGCAAAGGTGGGAGCAGTAGGGGCATCCCCAGTCCCTGTCCCTGCAGTACCCACACCCAGAGGCCCCAGGGCTCAGCTCCCTTCTGGGTGGGGCAGTGAGCAAGGCCATGGAGGCCCAAGTGACCACGTATCCCTTGGCATACCCTCATGTCACCTGGGCCAAGCAGGTGGGAGGATGTGGGAAAAACCCACCCCAGGAGAAGTCAGCCAGAATCCCCTCCCCAAAGCCCCAGGCACTTCCTCAGAGTCAGGCCAGCGGGGAACGAACTAGAGGCCAAGGGAGGAGCGGAGGACCACCACCCCCTCCTCTGCAGGGCTCCGGAGGCCTCCACCACCCCAGCCTCCTCTAAAACCCCTCCTTCGGGCAGCAGGGGGGAGGTGACAGGCTCTCTGCTGGAAAGCCCCTGCCCCATCACAGCCCCATCACTGCCCTTCCCAGCCCCCACATCCCACACTCTTCCATCACCTGCTACTGGCTCCAATAGGCAGCGACCCCACCCAGAGGACGCCACAGCCTCGACTTACAGCAAAGGGAGGCCAAGCCCCGAGAGCCTGGTTATGCGGCTGTGCCAGGCCACCCCTGCCACTACCAACCCACCCTGAAAAGGCTCAGGCCGGGGAGCTGAGGATGTCCCCATACAGCCTGCGGCCGGATCGGGGCTGGCCTGGCCATCGTTGCTAGGAGGGAGAATAATAAACACCCCAAACTTGTCCCCACGGCCGCCCCAGCCAGAAAAGCCACCCGCCAGGAGGTGAGGAGGGAAGGTGGAGCCGTCCGGAGGCAGGGGCTGGGAGCCGGCCGGGACCGGGAGAGGGAACGGATGGGGGCAGGGTCTGGGAGCGGCAGGAGCTGGGGCGGGCGGCTGGAAGGAGCAGACGGAACGGAGGCCGGGAACAGGCCGAGAGAGGAGGCAGGGCCAGCGGAGAGACGGCGGCGACAAGGGAAACGAGGGGAGGACGGAGGGAGGGACCGCGGGAGGAGAGACCAGGCCGGGCGGCGGCCCGGCCCGGAGGGGGAGGGAGCGGCGCCTTCTGAATCAGCGCTCGCCGGGGCAGCCATGGCCGAGCCGGTGCCTGGGCGGGGACCCCGGCGCCCAGGCCTGCGCCCCCCTCTCCAAGCCGAGTAGACGCGCGCCGGGCGCCCCTCCCGGCCTGGCGCAGACCTGGGCCGCCTTCGCGGCGGCGGGGACCAACCCGGCCAGGTGCGCCCGCGGCCGCCGTCCCCACGCCTTTGTCCGGCCCGGACGGGACCTGCTACCCCGGCCCCTGCCTCTCGCCCATCTCCATCCCCGCGCGGCCCGGCCGGCGCAGGTGCGGGCGCAGGGAGGCCCCGGCCGCTGCGGGCGCGGGGCGCGCGTCTTACCTGCGGCTCGGCCCCGGCTCGGCCCCAGCTCGGCCCCGGCCCTCCCGCCCGCCGGCCGAGCGCTGGGCGGGGCCGCCGCCTAGGACATGCCCGGCGCGGCCCGCACGCTCGCGGCAGCCCCGGCTGAGCCCACGGGCGGAGCGGCGGCCCGGGGCCTGGCGCGCGGGTCCCTGACGTCTGCTGGCGCTCGCCCCGCCCCCGCGTCCCGCCCCTCGTCCCGCCCCCGCGTCCCGCCCCGCCCCCGGAAATCCAGGTTAGGGCGGGCCCCGGCGCCAGGTGCACGCGGCCCTCGCCCCTGCGCCCTCCCCTCTAAGCCCCCGCGCCCCCCGCAGACCCCTCCCCTCTCTGCCTCGGTCCCCTCTCCCGCACCCCCGCACCCCCGACCCCCTCCCCTCTCTGTCCCGGTCGGGTCCCCAGCGCCCACCCCTAGGTTGTCCGCGCCCGCCCCCTGGTCACTAGTTCCCACACCCGGCCGACAGACCCCTTCCCCTCCCAGTCTCCGCCCCGCCCTCGGCTAGGGGACCCGCCCCGATTGCCAGGCGGAACCTAGGGCCGGGAGCAGCCCGGCGTCCTGGCCCCGGGCCCGCGGGTTAACGCTTAAGCCAGCTCGGGGAGCGTTCCCCAGCCCCTAACCTTTAGCCCCGCCCGCCCAAATGAGGGTGGAGCTTGGGGGAGGGGAAGGGAGTCCCAGAGGCCCCCCCTTGCCCCACCCGGACCCTCCCCTCCCGCGCCCCCAGCTCCCAGACACCTGGCGTTCTAGGCTGGGGTGGGGGTCGTGGGCGTCGACGGTGGCGTGGGCCGCGGGGCGGGGTGGGTCGGGGGACCCTGGAGGTGCTCACCGTTCCTGGGGTAAGGGCTCACGGGCTGCTTGCTGGTGTCGGGTGACCCGGGAGCTGGGAGAGGGAAAGGGATTAACGCTGGGGCGGGGGCAGCGTGGGAGACGCCTCGCAGAGGGATTGCCCTCCCGGGATCCTACCTTCCAGGTATGGGGAAGGTCTTGAGCAGAGGCTCGGTTGTGAGCAGCGGCAGCGGAGGGAAGTCCTGGGAGCAGGGGTTGGGAGGGCGGTGTGCTGGGGAGCCTGGGCTTTAGGGCCTGGACAGCTGGAGCTGCGACGGTGCCCACCCGCCGTGTACCCGTGTCTGCTGCCGCCCCGCCAGGGGCACGCGACAGCCCGCCCTCATAGTCCTCAGTCCCCGCGAAACCCACGTGCCAGGCCCTGCCCTGCGGGTGGGAGCAAGAAGGGGGGCACACACCCTGGAGAATGGAAGGGAGCCTCAAGCACCTACCATGCAGGTGGAAACCCACCTGCGGGGAGGCGGTCTAGGAGAGTATGGAGTGTGCCAGGCAGCGGGCGGCCCACCTGGGCCGGCTCGGCCGGCCCGCTCGGTGTGAGAACACAGAGGCCAGGGCCCCCGGGGTTGGAGGACCTGTTGGTCAGGGGAGGGACCTGCAGCTGGGTGATCATGAAGTTTGGACTTCATCCCGAGGACAACGTGGCGCCGCAGGAGGGTTTGATACCAGCTGAGACCTGCCCTGATGAGGGTATTAGAGAGCTCTGGGTGCCCAAGAGGGTAGAGGGGGGGATGGTCAGATATCCAGCCAGAGGCCCTGGGCTGGAAAAGGTGGGGACTGAGGCGAAGGAAGAGGTTGGACTGGGTATTCGTGGTTGCCCCCCAGTCCTGCCCTCCTCCCTCTACACCCTGCCCTGAGCTCCGCACTACATCAGTGGCCCCATCCCCCACCCCCACTGGCTTCCGGGTGAGTTTGGCCTCCAGCCCAGAGGTTGGGGAATTTCCCCAACTCCCAGCTGGATCCAGACCTACCATGTCCCTGAGGCCCCAGCCCCTTCCCAGGGGCCCTTTCCTACCCTCTCAGGACTCTGGGACCAGCCCCCACCCAGAGCTTCACCTACCCCTTGTACACAGCTTGGTAAATGGCCCTTCATAAAAGTCCTTTTCTCTCTCTGTGTCTGTCTTCTGCCAGGATCCTGACTTCCTCCAAGGAGTGGGAGAGGGA